GTGACCCTATTTTCCCAGCACTATCATCATGCATTCTTTTCAACTGCATACATCACTGCTCCTTTTAAACAAAATTAAGCGTGCCCAGTCACATGATCTCGTAGATTATGCAATAAAATTATGAGTTTTTCACAACATGTGAAGTACACTTTGTTTTAAAGGAGCAGTGATGTACGCAGTTGAAAAGAATGCATGCTGATAGTGCCGGGGAAATTGGGCCACTTTAAAGGACCAATTAAGCAATCATTAGTGCTTGGATAAAGCCAATACAAATTAAGTGTGCCCGGTGATATGATCTCGTAGATTATGCAATAAAATTATGAGTTTTTGACAACATGTGAGGTACACTTTGTTTTAAAGGAGCAGTGATATACGCAGTTGAAAAGAATGCATTCTGAAAGTGCCGCGAAAATGGGGTCACTTTAAGGGGCTAATTATGCACTAATTAGTCCAAGGATGAAGCCAATACCAAAATTAAGTGTGCCCGGTGACATGATCCCGTAGATTATGCAATAAAATTATGAGTTTTTCACAAAATGTGAAGTACACTTTGTTTTAAGGAGCAGTGATATACGCGCAGTTGAAAAGAATGCATTTTGTGCCGGTAAAATGGGGTCAATTTAAGAGGCCAATTAGGCACCAATGAGTGCTTGGATGAAGCCAATACCAAAATTAGGTGTGCCCGGTCACATGACCTCGTAGACTATGCAAAAAAAATGATGAGTTTTTGACAACATGTGAGGTACACTTTGTTTTAAAGGAGCAGTGATATACGCAGTTGAAAAGAATGCAATCTGATAGTGCTGGGAAAATGGGGTCACTTTAAGGGGCCAATTAGGCACTAATTAGTGTTTGGCTGATTGAAGTCAATACCAAAATTGAGTTTGCCCAGTGATATTATCTCGTAGATTATGCAATAAAATTATGAGTTTTTGACAACATGTGAGGTACACTTTGTTTTAAAGGACCAGTGATGTATGCAGTTGAAATGAATGCTGATAGTGCCTTGAAAATTGGGTCAATTTAAGGGGCTAATTAGGCATTAATTAGTGCTTGGATGAAGCCAATACCAAAATAAAGTGTACCCAGCGATATGATCTCGTAGATTATGAAATAAAACTGCGTGTTTTTGGCAACATGTAAGGTACACTTTGTTTTAAATAAGCAGTGATATACGCAGCAGAAACGAACGCATTACAATAGTGCAGTAAAAAAGCGTCGCTTTAACGGGCTAATTAGGCACTAATTAGTTTTCGGCCCGAGCCGATACCAAAATTAAGTGTGCCCAGTCACATGATCTCGTAGATTAAGCAATACAATTATGAGTTTTTGACAATTTGTGAGGCACACTTTGTTTTAAAGAAGCAGTGATATACGCAGTTGAAAAGAATGCATTCTCATAGTGCCTGGAAAATGGGGTCACTTTAAGGGGCTAATTAGGCACTAATTAGTGCTCGGCTGAAGCCAATACCAAAATTAAGCGTGCCCAGTCACATAATCTCGTAGATTATGCAATAAAATTATGAGTTTTCGACAACATGTGAGGTACACTTTGTTTTAAATGATGCATTTACTTTTCAACATCTCTAAAAGCGTTCGAAAATTACGTTAAATGTGATGATTCCCATTAAGCAGTTAATTTCTAAGTAATTATTGCATCAAATTTTCAAAACTCGTTGACGACATGGTTGCTTATATTGTGAACTGTGATACAGCGTAGAAAAATATTGATATTTTGTCGTTTATTTTGAAAAATTCGTTGAATAAAATAAATTATCTATCAGCATATAGATCACCTTTTGCAGCATATATTATAGATTTTTTTACTTTGGTGAATGCGCGGCTGAATACGCGGTTGAATACGCGGCTAAAATCAGGCCGAATCCGCGGTAACCTTGACAAAATGAGCCAGGTACTATTTGGTACACTTTGTCTCAAAGTTGGGCATAATAATATTTAACCGCAAACTGCTATTTTTTAGTACGAATTTTCCCAGGACGAGTATCACGTGACTCATAGCTGCCCTAGATCTGAAACCAAAATAATTCATAGGAAGCCTCTAGTCCTCAATATAAACTGACCATCAAACATAATCTGGACATGTTGCATTTTCGGTACACATTTTCCTGAAATTCGCATTAAATTTATAAAATAAAGTTAATTTGGCGGTAAAGGCGCATTTTGTTATGCCATTGTCACGTGACAGATACACCCCACACACCTGAAACCAAAATAGAGTGTAGGCGGGACACCACTCTATCAGATGTCATCGGCGATTTGACTTTTACTCCTACACTGTTTGGTACACTTTGTCTCGAAGTTTAACTTAAAGTTAAATGTACAACGTTACCGCCAAATGCTATTTTAGTACGACTTTTCTCAGGACGAGTATCACGTGAATTATAGCTGCCCTAGATCTGAAACCAAAATAATTTATAGGAAGCCTCTAGTCCTCAATAACTGGCCATCAAACATAATCCGGACATGTTGCATTATCGGTACACTTTTTCCTGAGATCCGCATTAAACATAAAATAAAGTAAATTTGGCGGTGAAAGCCCATTTTTGTTATGCCATTGTCACGTGACAGATACATCCCACACACCTGAAACCAAAATAGAGTGTAGGTGGGCCACCACTCTATAAGATGTCATCGGCGATTTGACTTTTTCTCCTTCACTGTTTGGTACACTTTGTCTCGAAGTTAAAGTGTAATGTTGTACAACCGCAAAATGCTATTTTAGTCCGATTTTTCTCAGGACGAGTATCACGTGATTCATAGCTGCCCTAGATCTGAAACCAATATAATTCATAGGAAGCCTCTAGTCCTCAATAACTGACCATCAAACATAATTTGAACATGTTGCATTTTCGGTACACTTTTTCCTGAAATCCGTATTAAATATATAAATAAATTAATTTATTTTTAAAGTAAATTTTGCGGTGAAAGCCTATTATGTTATGACATTGTCACGTGACAGATACACCCCACACACCTGAAACCAAAATAGAGTGTAGGCGGGACACCACTCTTTAAGATAACATCGGCGATTTGACTTTTTCTCCTTCACTGTTTGGTACACTTTGTCTCGAAGTTTAACTTAAGTTAAATGTACAACGTTACCGCAAAATGCTAGTTTAGTACGACTTTTCTCAGGACGAGTATCACGTGATTCATAGCTGCCCTAGATCTGAAACCAAAATAATTTATAGGAAGCCTCTAGTCCTCAATAACTGACCATCAAACATAATTCGGACATGTTGCATTTTCGGTACACTTTCTCCTGAAATCCGCATTAAATATATAAAAAAAGTAAATTTGGCGATGAAAGCCCATTAAGTTATGCCACTGTCACGTGACAGACACATCCCATACACCTGAAACCAAAATAAAGTGTAGGCGGGATACCACTCTTTCAGATGACATCGGCGATTTGACTTTTTCTTCTTCACTGTTTGGTACACTTTGTCTCGAAGTTTAAGTTTAATGTTGTACAACCGCAAAATGCTATTAAAGTACGATTTTCCTCAGGACGAGTATCACGTGATTCATAGCTACCCTAGATCTGAAACCAAAATAATTTATAGGAAGCCTCTAGTCCTCAATAACTGACCATCAAACATAATTCGGACATGTTGCATTTTCGGTACACTTTTTCCTGAAATCCGCATTAAATATAAAAAAAAGTAAATTTGGCGGTGAAAGCCCATTATGTTATGCCACTGTCACGTGACAGACACATCCCATACACCTGAAACCAAAATAAAGTGTAGGCGGGATACCACTCTTTCAGATGACATCGGCGATTTGACTTTTTCTTCTTCACTGTTTGGTACACTTTGTCTCGAAGTTTAAATTTAATGTTGTACAACGTTACCGCAAAATGCTATTAAAAAAACGATTTTCCTCAGGACGAGTATCACGTGATTCATAGCTGCCCTAGATCTGAAACCAAAATAATTCATAGGAAGCCTCTAGTCCTCAATAACTGACCATCAAACATAATTCGGACATGTTGCATTTTCGGTACACTTTTTCCTGAAATCCGCATTAAATAATAAAAAAAGAAAATTTGGCGGTGAAAGCCCAATATGCTATGCCACTGTCACGTGACAGACACATCCCATACACCTGAAACCAAAATAAAGTGTAGGCGGGACACCACTCTTTAAGATGACATCGGCGATTTGACTTTTTCTTCTTCACTGTTTGGTACACTTTGTCTCGAAGTTTAACTTAAGTTTAATGTTGTACAACGTTACCGCAAAATGCTATTAAAGGACGATTTTCCTCAGGACGAGTATCACGTGATTCATAGCTGCCCTAGATCTGAAACCAAAATAATTTATAGGAAGCCTCTAGTCCTCAATAACTGACCATCAAACATAATTCGGACATTTTGCATTTTCGGTACACTTTTTCCTGAAATCCGCATTAAATATATTAAAAAAAAGTAAATTTGGCGGTGAAAGCCCATTAAGTTATGCCACTGTCACGTGACAGACACATCCCATACACCCGAAACCAAAATAAAGTGTAGGCGGGACACCACTCTTTAAGATGACATCGGCGATTTTCTCCTTCACTGTTTGGTACACTTTGTCTCGAAGTTTAAGTTAAAGTTTAATGTTGTACAACCGCAAAATGCTATTAAAGTACGATTTTTATCAGGACGAGTATCACGTTATTCATAGCTGCCCTAGATATGAAACCAAAATAATTGATAGGAAGCCTCTAGTCCTCAATAACTGACCATCAAACATAAAACTGACGTCCTTCATTTTCGGTACACTCCTCGATGAAATCCGCATTAAATATATAAAATTTATCACATCAATAATGTTGTTTATTGGCCTCCGTACTTGATGAATACGCGGCTGAATACACGGCTGAATACGCGGCTGTGGTATCTGGCCGAATACGCGGCCAGGTTCACTCTGGTTATGTATGTTTGATCTCTATTATTATAGTGGGGCGAGCAGTGAGGGCGCACTTTTCAAAACTGTCAAACGCTCTCGTTTACGTTTCAGCATTTCCTGTCAAGTGTCATTTTGCCTGTTGCCCGCCTCGCGATCGCGTTGAAAGGTTTGTTTACGAGTTTATGTTTGTAAAACTTATAATGGCACTATTGGCAGTAAAGTGACAATTTAAAAATATTATATATTAGGCAGTGTATATGTTGCCGGAGACGGCAAACCTTTAGCATGTTTAGTAAACGTTAGTTTGCCGGTGTCACGGTCTCACTTCTCCGGCGTGCTAGCTTCTCCAAAACGGAAATTTCGCTTCAACACGCATGCACAAAATTGCGCAGTAGTGTACATTTTCGTCACTGTATTAGTGTGCTGAGTTTTTCGGGGCTGTACTTGTGTACGTAAGATCATGGAGGTAGGACCTCCATGGTAAGATATTTGTATGCATAGAATTTTCGTGGCGCGCACTATTAACTCCCAATATTAAAGACTTGAATTTGAAATGCACATTTATTTTAAGCCGTGGTTGCAAAAATAAGGACAAAATGGACCACGAACGACCAAGGAACACGGACCAAGGAGTTCGTTCTTAATTATTCCTCCATGAACACACACATGCATGACGCTGGGAACACAAATCAGAATGCTTGCAAGACCATGGAATGACTTGACCCACAGGAAGCGTTACATAACACATTCTTGGGTGTCCCTCACTGTAATGGGCTTGGTAGACTTCAGAAAACAACCCGAGGAAAAGTAAGCACAGCGGACACATGAGCATGAATCGTGCTCATGTAACGTGCACTGTAACGTGCTCAGTTATCCACCAAATCGACCCGGAGAAGCTAGCACGCCGGAGAAGTGAGACCGTGACATTGGATATGCACTGAACATGCTGAACATGCGCAGTTACTGGTTTGTTTGTACTAAAACATTTTCCGGTGACAAGTTTTAGTCTGGCTCCATGCCAAAATTATCGTTGTTACCTCGTATTCACAAGATGGGATTCAGACCATTTTATAATTTCGGACTTTATTTCCCTTTTAAAACAAATCCTCCAGAGCCACAAATCTGAAAAAAGAAAATGTAATACTCTGCAAAAAATGTTTGAGACATGTTAAAATAATAAAACTTTTATTAAAAGAAGAATGTTCTTATTTATTTTGGGGATGAGAAAAAAAACTCTTTAAAACGTGGTGCGGTCGGAATCGAATGCGAGTCATCCCGCTTACTAGAGCCTTTACTTAACCATTACACCAAACGTGCTACACAAGTTTTGGTGGGAATTTAATACATCTTATAATTCAGCCCTATTTTAAAGAGTACAGCGCCCTCTGTTGATATGGATTGCCGCCGGCAAACCTTTAGTAATCGTTAGTTTGCCGTCATTACCTCCGGCAAAATATCCACTATCTATATGGCATGAATTGGTAATCCTTTCCTTTAGGATCCCTTTTCTTTTGATCAAATTAGAGTCAAAAATTTTGCTCAAAAATCATGTTTACAATCAAAAGCAGTCTTTTCTTAATTCTAGTGACACCTGTTTTGCAATTTTGAACAGATTCTTGGGGTAGAAATCACGATTATCCTGCGCGGTTTGTGCCTTGCGATTCAGTGCGCCGTGCGTGCTCACGGTACATCGGGCGGTGATCGCCATCTTTATTTTCGTCTATGTCGTCATTTTACCCCCAACTTTCCCTCAAAAAAATCAAAACCCTGCCCTCTATCTATGAGTATGGCATACCTGTTTATTGAGAATGTCGCCAACTAGTTTGGTTGGTCCAATTATTTTAAAGTGGATTTTGTTCCCTTATAGGAACCGGGCCCTACACTACACAACTGCCTTAAATGTCACGATATAGACTGATAAAAAAATGCAGTAAAAAAATGCAGAATGATCAGGGCCAATAGGTCCGTCGATATAGGATTAAAAATGCAACTCTAATGTGACGTCACATGTCATGTGATGACGTCATCGTGGGGTCAGTTCATTTGTCATCTGTAACACATCCTGGTCTAGTTACATACATTGTGTACCAAGTTTCAACCCAATCGGATGCGTAGTTCTGGATAAATGCCTTCGAAATATGCATATTTAATATGACGTCACATGTCACGTGATGATGTCATTGTAACATCACTTCAAGTTTCTTCTATAACACATCTTAATCTAGGTACATACCAAGTTTCACTCGAATCAAACATGTAGTTCTGGTGATATAGGCCTTCAAAATACGCACTTTTAAATGACTTCACATGTCATGTGATGATGTCATGGTGACGTCACTCAAATTTGTATAACATATCCCGGTTTTGGTGCATACCAAGTTTCAACCCGTAGTTCTGTAGATATTGGCCTTCAAATATGCACTTGTAATATGACGTCACATGTCACGTGATGACGTCATCGTGACATCACTTAAATTTTCATCTATAACACATCCCGGTCAAGGTACTGTTACAAACCCACTTACCCACTGTAATTGTTTAGTAGGGTTTGCTCCCACACTAGAATTTTTGGTATTTAATGAATGTTTGTTATGGTGGCTATGCGCTGGTAAACACCCTATATAAGCACTGACTGGCTTTTATTCGGTCTCAGTTGGTGCCCATGTACAACCATTATGTGCGATTTCCATTAGCACGTCGTTGAGCCAGCATCTCCCGCCGTTCCTACCGAGCTATGTACCCCTCAATGCTGGATCGTGGCCGAGGCTGATGGTGCTACCGGACAGAGACCTGGACTGTCGTGGCCCGCCTGATGTGGCTGACTTTTCGGGGTTCAATGCCGACTAACCTGTGGCTTGGCTGATCCACGGCTGGGTGCGGAGATGCTTGGTTCGACGGCTACACTAATACCGTTGTGGGCACTGGCTGGGCGGGGCCTGTTCCTGCTACTGGTTCTTTATAAGTAATTATATTCGGCCGAATACCATTTGCCTTTGTTGTTTTGCTTATTGACTCTATTTTGCTGGCTTGCTCTTTACTGTATTTTGCCTGTTTGTATAATTTGCTGCTTTGCTAATATCTTCGTAATTTATTTTGCTTTGCCTGTATCTAATGCTTTGGGGTTCTTACATGAAGTTTAAAGTTACAGACTAACTGAGAATGTTTGTTGTATCACACATTGACCTGTTGATTGATTTGGGAGAATTAATTAAATTTTGTTGATTAATCATATCTTGGTCTCTTTTTTGCCTTTGTTTCAAAAGTCATGATTCCCGTTTTTATTACTTATTTCTTTCTGCCGTGCGTTCCCCGCACGTAACAGCACATACCAACTTTCAACCCAATCGGACCTGTCGCTCTGTAGATATAGGCCTTCAAAGTATGCACTTTTAATATGATGTCACTTGTTACGTGATGACGTCATCGTGACGTCACTTAAATTTTCATCTATAACACATCCCGCTTTAGGTACATATCAAGATTCAACCCAACTGGACCTGTCGTTATGGAGATATGGGCCTTCAAAATATGCACCTATATTGTGACGTCACGTGACTCGTAATGACGTCATGGTGACGTCAATGTTCGGCGCACATCTGTGGGTGGTGGTCTAAGTGTGTGTCAGGTATAAAGGCAATCTATATTTGTCAACCGAATGGAACTTGTCGCATGTAGTCATATCAACAGAAATTGTGCACAATTTTGCGAAACCATTTTTTCAATTTAGCCTCCAAAATATGCAACTTTACTATGACTTCATATGTCACGTGATGACGTCATCATGACGCCACTACAATGTTCATCTATAACGCATCCCGGTCTCGCTACATATACCAACTTTTAACCCAATCAGTCATGTAGTTCAGGAGATATATGCCTTCAAAATATGTTTATTGACTATGACGTCATATGTCACCTGATAACGTCATCATGACATAAATTTTTTTTTGTTTATAAGATATCCTAGTCTAAGTATATTCCAACTTTGAACCCAATCGGACCTGTAGTTCTTGTAATACCGGCCTTCAAAATATGTATTTTTACGATGACGTCATGTTGTGTGATGATGTCATCATGACGTCACTTTAATTTTCATCTATAACAAATCCTGGTATGGGTACATACCAACTTTCAACCCCATCGGACCTGTAGTTCAGGAGATAAAGGCCTTCAAAATATGTTTATTTTATATGACGTCATATGTCACATGATGACGTCATCATGACGTCAAGTTGATTTTAATCTATGAGACATCCCAGTCCAGGTACATACCAACTTTCAACCCAATCGGCCCTGTAGTTCTGGAGATATACATGTAGCCCAATCTGTCAGATCTAGCCGAATTCAGAATTCAGAAAAATCGCATATAATGTGACGCCACGTGACTCGTGATGACGTCATGATGACGTCATGATGAGGTCAATGTTTGGCGCACAACTTCAGATGCTGGTCTAAGTGTGTGCCGAGTATAATTTTAGTGCCCAAAGAGCCGGTAACAAAAAAACGTTTACAAATGCTATGGGCAAAATGACTGAAAAAGAAAAAAAATAGAGCTATGCCAGTTCGATTAACAGAACACAGGCTTTTCCGCATTTTTGGCGAGCTGCGAAGCAGATGCGAGCCTTTGTAATACCAATTTCCTTCCGTCTGTTGAAGTTTTTGGTTCTAGCTAACTTGGTAAATAAAATACAGTTTACATATGTATCATCTCTGTAACTTACAATTAGGTTCATTTCATTGCAGTTAATTTTATGATTTTATTGAGGAATTTTGATTAAGGAAAATGTTACAGTTTTTAATTGTTAAAATGTATGTATAGTGGGAGAACATGTGCATGTATATACCTACAGGTATAACATATATCCACTATGCATTTTGGGGGAGCATTCATGTGTGTACGGTACTTATGTGCATGTTCTTCTGGTTTGATCTTTTAGTTTTATGGGGTTGGAGTAGGGATGGGTAGGGATAGTTTATTAAACAAAAATTCTAATGAGCCATAAACAATAATAATCATCATGATGCAAAGTGCATAAATTGTTCGCATCTCTCTACACAGTCAACCTCATTAGCATAATACTGTTAATAAAATGTCTCAAAAAAGGCATTTAGGTATTGTCTGACCATGGACGAGTGTTCTTATTCCTCCATGGTCTCAGGAAGCACAGTGGTGCTATTAATGGGAGAAAAATCTGATTTAAAAATGATGTTACATATCTGCATGAGTTTACCCGGAAAAAAATTAGTTTAGCGGCTTTGCATGCATAGGGAAAATGTGTGTAGTGTGCAAGTTTAAACTTGCCTGCGCAATTTGTAGCAAGGAAATTAATGCACGCACAAGTTTAAACTTCGGTGCACGAACTTGCGCGGGAGTCTCAAATAGTGCTCGACAACAATAATATTGGGCGATCGTGTAGTCAGTTACAGTCGTTTTCCTAGTTCCGAATAGCAAACATCACTCAGGCAGCTTTCAGCTCAACTACTCCTTGAACTCGAGTGACATTGATTAAAAAGTTTACCTTGAGTGATGGAGATACTACACAATAATTTTCCAAATTTAAGCTCCTTTTAATTTGACTTTATGACGTCAAAAGTACCGTACCAATGCCCTTTTTCCTAGTTCCGGATTGGTTCAACCAGTTCCAAATCGATCAAACACTGTTTCAAAAAATCACGCAAGAAAATCATTTTTTAGCCAGAAAAACCCCGAACAAGCACATTTCTGATAAAGTATTATTTAATTCTCCCAAAGAAGTTCATTTTAGAGAATTCCAGCAAATTGATAAAAGAGAAACATGTAAATGATTTTGAAACGTTTATCTGCAGGGCAACGGCACGAAAGCACGTAAGTGCACGCGCGATCCGTAACTAGGCAAAAACATACGGTCATGTAGCAAATTTGCTACCAACTTTGAGCAAGATTATCTTCTCATCCAGGACAGAGATTTCCAAAGTTAGGGTACCTGCTCGTAGAAGAACTTGTATCTTTTCTAAACAAATTCCTATATCTAAAAATCTTCATCCATCTGGCTAAGAAATGATGATCAGCCTGCAGCTCCCACAAATATCATCTCACAAATGTTCCTCCATGGGATTTCAAAATGGTGGACTGGTTTTGCTCGTTGTTTATGTATGCATTGATGCGGGCGCGCTTGGGCAAGGTTATGAATATGCATTGTACAGTTCATGACATCGTGTTGTCGGGCGTGCGGCGCGGCCGGCCATACAAACTATTGTTTTTGGTTGATCCCACTTGTAAAATCTGGTTGATTGTCCTGGATGATCACTTATATTGCCAAAGGCCTAGGATCCTACTCCATCACAACATCAGCTAATGTTTGCGCTATTGACCAATGTGTAGCAGAGTATGAGGGAGGTATCCACAAATCCATACCATTTTGAGTGAATAAAAGTACAACTTGTGGGTGCTTGGAAGAGCAATTTATTAGGCAGTTACCAAATTCTTCCCTTTTCTTTCAGGCAGACAAGATGGCTTCAAGGGCAGTCACAGTATGTTCTTGTCGGCCACCAAGTTTATCAAAGATGCAGCAGTTATCCTTGGCTGACGTTCAGCTCGGTTCCTCCTTCAATTTTAAGTACATTGAGGTAGGTTCCAGCTTATTTTTTAGAAGACTTATGAGTGTTCTATTTGGATGACAGAGGTTTTGTACATTTTTCAAAACTTATCCTTGCATCTAAAAAAAATAACTCGGCATGCATTGTAGTAGTCGAGTCCATCACATCACAAGTCCTGTCAAGAGTAAATCCAGGTCCTTTCACAAGTCCAGTCACAAGTAATTGGGTGAACAATGCCAAAGGAATGCTTTTGTCAAAATTCATGTGAGTGGCTTGTGACTTGACTTGAGACTGGATGACTTGTGATGGACTTGTGACAGACTTGTGGTGGACCTGTGATGACTTATCATGGACTTGTGAGTAACTTGTGATGACTTGTGACAGACTTGTGATGGACTTGTGACAGACTTGTGATGAACTTGCGATGGACTTATTATGGACTTGAGATTGACTTGAGATTGACTTTTGGCAGACTTGTGATAGACTTGTGACAGACTTGTTATGGACTTGAGATTGACTTGTGATTGACTTGTGATGACTTTTGGCAGACTTGTGATAGACTTGTGATGGACTTGAGATAGAATTAGGATGGACTTGTGATGGACCTTCTGACAGACTTGTGACAGAGTTGTGATAGACTTATAATGGACTTGAGATTGACTTGTGATAGACTTGTGATAAACTTGTGATGAACTTCTGATGGACTTGTGACAGACTTGTGACAGACTTGTGACAGACTTATGATGGACTTGTGATGGACTTGAGATAGAATTAAGATGGACTTGTGATGGAACTTCTGACAGACTTGTGATTGACTTGTGATGGACTTGTGATGACTTGTGACAGACTTGTGATAGACTTGTGACAGACTTGTGATGTAATTGTGATTAACTTGTGATTAACTTGTGATGGCCTTTTGACTGACTTGTGACTGATTTGTGATAGAATTAGGATCGACTTGTGTTGGACCTGTGACAGGCTTGTGATAGACTTTGACCGACTTATGATGGACTTGTGATGGACTTGTGATGGACTTGACGACAACACTGCAACTCAGTATGCACTCCAACCTAGGCTTATTAGTGCGTTTTGGCAAAATACCATCCTTTGTTAAATCTGGTGTGGTTTATTGAAAATAATCTGTGAACCCATATCGTTTCATTGTTTTCCTTGGTTGCTGTTGCAGGGAAGGATTGCTAAGATGTGGCCCCTTCATTCCGCCGGCAAGAACAAGTGGATGAAGACGATTCTTGAGGAGGGGGAGGAGGCGGCTGCCAACGATGCCCCGCCCCCAAGTAGGATTATCGTCTTCCTCATGGGAGATTTTGCAGAGGAGTTCATTCAGTTTTCTGTCGGGGCAAGTACTATGATTGGCTCTTGAAGCATGTAATATGTTAAGCTTTTGAAAACCTTCTTGTAAAAGGTCTTGAACTGTTAGTTTACTGTGTATTTATTTTATAGAGATACAATGAGTATTTGACATGTTGAATGCTCTGCAGCTCATGACAACAGATCCACAATGTATGTCCACAAAACAATGTAAAAGGTTTTTGAAGAGCACTGCATACTAGATAGAGGATCTTTTTGAAGGATTGTATATGGTGTGTAGTAACTCTTTGGGCAAAAGTGTACAGGCAAAACTTGAAGGGTTTGAAGCATAAAAACTAGTTGGGATCAATAATATAGTTTCTGAATAGAACTTTGTATAATTGAGATGTGCAAAGAAACCAAATTTTGATTGTTTTGTCAACAATTGCCGTGATTACCCAACGACCCTAACCCTCCAGGGTATTTTGGGCTAGAAACCCTGCTGAACGCAGCAACATGTAACACTTGTCTCAATGACAAGCCTGCCCAGTGTAGCAAGATCGATCAGGTCAAAACTCTCAAGGCCAGACTACCTCAGAGTCTGTGGTCACTGAATGCAGCAGGATACAACTGTGGCATTGTTCAATGGGACTAGCTCTCATTGTTTCAGAATTGGCTGTTTATGCACTGGTGTTGATGGCTCAATGCAGCAAGGTTCCACAGACCTTTACACCAGATGCACTTTGTTGCGTCTGGCAGGGTTAGGGATAATGTCTTTGGTTTATATTTTCATTGAAGGATATGGTAATTATCAGTGAGGCGTTGATTGAGAAGTCGCCGTCTTTCGTCAAAGACTCCATCCATCCGTGTAACATCCTAGTTGAGAAGACGCGATCTAGACCATCAGTCTGGGTGAGTAAATGCCATTGGTGTGAATGGTCCTTTGTTGTGAGAAATCATCAGCAACAGGAACTTTAGGCTAAGAAAACTTGGCGAGATATATTCTTTGAAAGGGACCTACGTGAATCTTCCAAGATATTCCCCTTTGCAGGAACCGAAAATGGCTCATTCAGATTGACTGGCTGTGACTGTTATGAAACTTGATACAGCAATGTTTTGACTGTAGACGATTGATAAGTCAGCTGTGCCTACCAGTTACTTGCTTTTGTGTGTAGATGGAATTTGACTGTCAAGGTACTTAAAAGAAATATGGTCCGACTGTTGGTGACTAGCCTGTGTAAAAGGCAAGGCAGGGAAACAGGATTGAATTTCTGACTGTCTGTGACTGATAAAAAAGGGCTTAATACTGCAAAATTCTAAAAAAAAAAAATTAAAAAAAAACTCCTTGGAGATTTTGAAGCAACTAAGATTTTTTGAATGAGTTCAGCATTGTTGTGAGCCAGAACAAAGGAAGATCCATAGTGACCTTGTTTGGTAATGAAGCAAATTTATCATGAGAAAACCTATCAATTAAACTTGTACTGTTGACATCATGATATTTGCTTTGTTTTGACATTCAAGTGAAATATGGACTCCCCTTTATATTTGGGACATATGTAAATAATAGATTCAAAGAAAAGGAATTTCGTCCGAGGTTCAAGCCCTGTTGCATGGAGAGTTGGGAACACTGAATACATGTAGAAGCTAACTAAATATAACTGTGCCAAGTTCATAAGTTATGCTTGATATTAGATACTTGATTCAGATTTGGGTACAATTCTCTCCACATCCATTCTGGTTCTTATTATTGCCATGTGTCAGCGGAATGTAAACTTTTTTTCTTCAACGACGATTGCTTCTCAGGTGATACCAGCCAAGAAAAAAAGTCAGACGACAAAAGCAGCCAGACAAAACACTGCTGCTTCATCTGCCATTCCCAGACCTGCGTCCACGGGCGCCGCAAGCTCCTCAACCGCAGCCCATGGACAGATTCCTGCTGTGGGACGGAATGCTTCTGATGGTAGCAATGAAGGGGTGAGGTCTGATCCAGAAGTCGGTCCGTCAACTAGCGCTGCGTCGACAGTTCCATCAACAAGCAGCAGAAAGGCAGCGGGTCCAAACAGAGACACGCCGTGGAGTGATAACGCCGTCACCACCTCAGGCCACCCCATGGACGCGTGGACGATCCCCGATGTCAGCCTGTCACCCACTAAGGTAAGACCGTCTCACCCACTAAGGTAAGACGTCTCACCCACTAAGGTAAAACGTCTCACCCACTAAGGTAAGACGTCTCGCCAATAAGGTAAGATGTCTCACCCACTAAGGTAAGACGTCTCGCCAGTAAGGTAAGACGTCTCACCCACTAAGGTAAGACGTCTCACCCACTAAGGTAAGATGTCTCACCCACTAAGGTAAGACGTCTCGCCAATAAGGTAAGACGTCTCACCCAATAAGGTAAGACGTCTCGCCCACTAAGGTAAGATGTCTCACCCACTAAGGTAAGACGTCTCACCCACTAAGGTAAGACGTCGCAACCACTAAGACCGTCTCACCCTCTTAGGTAATACATCCCACCCACTAAGGGAACACGTCTCACCCACTGAGGTAAGTGTTCTCACCCACTAAGGAAGAAACCAAACAATGAAGCCAAAGTCAGAGAAAGTTTGGACCCTCCCCCCCCCCCCCCCCCGCCCCACTTTGTTGCACTGTCAGACAACCTGATTTTCTTTTAAAAAAAACCTTTATTGCCTGTTTTCCTCACTTGTTCCAGAGAAGTTACACTTACACTCCCCTCAAGGACCTGAAGGCAGCCGCCCAAGTCAACGTCTTTGGGGTCGTCAAATTCTTCAAGCCTCCATACAAGACCAGGGGACCAGGTGAGAAGAAGAATGTACTAAGCACTGAAAATATTTGCTTATTAGATGCAGGTTACCGACCAGAATGTGATGCAGTGTATCATTGTCCATGACTGGCTCCATGCTGATTTTTGCTTAACACATACATTTTCTAAGCAGTATTTCAGCTCAATGAAATCTGGCCCCATTCTCCTATCCCCAACCCCCCTTCTCAACCCCCCCCCCCTAAAAAAAAAGAGAATGTGAACATTCAAAACACTGTAGTTTAGAGGTTTTGACCAAAAAAAGCAGAAACAGGAGGTTTCTGATGCATAATATACTGCAGGTGTCAAGGGGAAAAATTCTAGCCTGTAATTAATAATTGATCACCAATGCAACGTCCCCCGAAAAGAAACTTTTGAAATAGCCCCAAAGTTAACAATAAACGTCTGCAGTTGAATTCATTGTAAAGTCAATTAGCTGATTCAGAAATGGCCAGTACGTGAAAACATAAATAAGCTAATATTTTTGTATTATCAGACACTTCCATGGAACGCATTTTGGAACTTTTACCCCAATTGCATACTTTCTATGCTATGAATAAATGAACAATGTGGACGATAATTCAGGTCGAGACCTTTTTTCATCACCGACAGATTATTGCATGACGGTGACCTTGATTGACCCGACCCTTGACCCCGACCATCGTGGGCTTCGATGTCAACTGTTCCGTGATGACATCATGGCGCTACCCCAAGTACACGCCATAGGAGATATTGTTCGCTTTCATCGTTTGAAGGTACGAGTTTGTAATATACAATTGTTTCAATTGTATAGAGGTTCAAATTAATATTTAACATGCTTCGAGACTATTTAGGAATCTCCTCATTTATTTAATCTGATATGATTTATTTAATTCGATTGACATACATTTCGTAGACAAAAGTCCAAATTAAAGGTAGGGCAGATCATTTGTCATTTGTTCATTTTTTTTTTCATTTGAAGCAACAAAAGTACTCGAAATCTAGAGACGGATGCTTAACAACAAACCTGATGAAGTTTTGGCTCAGTGAATGCTGTATATTCCGAGAAAACAATATTCTAGGATCTCAATTTCAATTCAAAAGTTGCCGAGTCAAGTTTTGAATTGCGCCCGAAATCAGCATCCAGAACACGATCTCATTCAGCTGATTGCAGCTACGCGATGTCATGCACTAAACCAACGAATGATTTGAAACGAAATTTCGAAGAAAAGAAGGTCATTTCCAAAGATGTGTCAAGTGACGCATTTTGGAAATTTCCATAGTTAGTTGGTTTGTAATTCGGCAAATCCGTGTATGGTTTCGCCCAGGCGTTGCCGCGACGCACACATGCGTGCGGTTGCTATTTTTCATCGGTTCAGTGCGTGACTACGGTGTGGCTGCAATCAGCAGAATGAGAAAGTGTCCAGGATGCTGTTTTCAATCGCAATTCAATATATGACTTGCCAACATTGGGATTGAAATTGAGATCCTAGCATATTGTTTTCTAGGAATATACAGCATTCACAGAGCCAAACTTCATCAGGGTAGTTGTTAATTAGCACCCACCTTTAGATTTTGAGCACTTTTGCTGCTTCAAACAAAAAATGCACAAATGACAAATGATCTACCGTACCTTTAAAACTTATGGTTCTTCATAGATACACACTTTCTCTTTTAGAGTCACCATTTCACATGGTAATGCACAACTTCTCTGAATGGTTCAAAATGGTTGGAATGGCTTTTTTTTTTCTTACAACAGATCAGCCTGTTCAATGATGCCATACAGGGACAGAAGGGGAACGGCTTCCATTGTCTTGTGTTTGAGGGAGCGGTAGACGCCTCTATGGAGCCGAGATCCTCCAGCCCCAATTACACGCTGACTGATGATGACAAACGAAGGGTATGTAGAATTGCATCATCTTGATTAGTGGTGGGAGAAATCGGAGATTTCAAAGTCTACTTTGTTTCAAACCGAATAACGGTTATCCGTTTCACCGGAAGTTCCTATTCAGTTCACAGTCATGCCAATGAGTGAGGTGTCACATGGACTTCTGTCCGCAACGATTTGGTATAGTTTGCGGGATTCAATGACCACTTGGCCTTTACCAGAAAAAAGACTCCAGAGATGTTATGTTGGAAAAAAAAGGGGTGGGAACTCGCTGATCAGGCTAAATAGCCCGGCTGTTCATATACCAAGAAGACCGCTATAGCGAGTGAATGCAGTTACAATCAGAGACCATGGAGCATATTGGGGAATGTTCCAGTTGTGTTTCTTTAGCTTTTGTCACAAAAAAATGGAAGGCCTGATTTTTTAAAATTGGTTTCCAATATCCGGTTTCCAAAATCTAAACCGAATAGTGGAATTCAAACCGAATTTAAAACGAATCCGGATTTCAATCCCACCACTAAACTTGATGAGACATTGCAGTGCTCCCTCAAAGCCCCCTCTATTTCACAGCTCAAAAAAAAAAAAACATCACAAATGTCGATACATATTTGGAAAGTGTAGTTCATTAGCTTTTCAAAAACGAAAAAATATTTCCAATCAGCTAAATATTTATTGAGTTATGGGCAATTGAAAACAAATGTTGCTTTTTTCATTTTGTCCATGGGGACTGATATTTGATTTCCGCACTAAGAACACGGGCTGAAACTGGCATCCGTAAAAGAGGCCATAGCTCAATAAATGTTTACCCGATTGGAAAGATTTTTTTGCTGTTGAAAAGCTCATGAACTATACTCTCCAAATATGTATCGACATTTGCGATGTAATTTCTAAAAAGCTGTGAAAGGGGGGGGGGGGGGGGGACACCCTGTATAACTAAACATGTATTCTGTGCTTACTGGTTAATTCAGGGTTTCTATGTTGGCACAGTCAGCACAGGATTGTGATTAGTGGGTCCTTTCGTTGGCATAAAACTAGAGAAGATGGAATTTGTGTCCATCTAAGAAATAGTTTGGTTGCGGTACCTGATTCGATATCATATTTGAACCGGCCAGCTGACCCTGGCCACCTTGGTTGTCGAATGGTCAGACATCTGCACTAGTAAGCAGGAGGTTGTGGGTTTGAGTCCCACCCGTGTAGTTTGTGAATTTATTTCATAATCACTGAATACACAGTGTTTATAAAATACGTCGGTGAAGGGCAAAAGTGCGATACTGAAATTGGGTTCTGATGTAAAGTATGAGGAAGGTTTGGTTCATCTTCAAAAACTTCCTGGTGGATTTGTAAGGGTTCGGAAGAGTTGGGGTTCCAGTTGTCCTGGTGAACATCCTAGCTTGCAGGCCAGTCCCTGTTTTCTGCTAATTTACATTTGTATTCTTACCTGTGACGTCTGACCCTAAGGTCAAGGAGCTGAGATTGTGGTCGAGTCGTCGGACTCAACTTGCCTTAGACAACCGGGGCTGTTCCCTATCCAAGATGTACGCAGGGCAGTACCTTGATCTGACATGCCAGGTGGTGTCAGTGGCTGTGTTGCCGGCAGAGAAGTGTGCAGTGATCCGAGTCTGGGATGGGACCAAATACAGAGGGTAAGCCCATCAAGAGAAATTTTGTCAAATAACCGTTATTCTAGCCTCAACCCTAACCTTAATATTAACCCTTATCCTAACCTTTACCTCGACCCTTAACCTTATCCCAAGCCTGACCAAAACCGTAAATCAAAACTGTTACCCAAACCCTAACGCTAAATCTAAACTCTGACCCCAACCCTAACCCTAACCCTAACCCTAACCCAATTTTCCAAATTGTGATGCATTCTGCCAGAACAGACTCTCCTGGGCAGCTGGTTGAAAATAAGTTGTTCAAATATTGTTAAAACAAGGCTTTGCCTCGCCTGCTTCGCAGGGGAGACAGCTTTGGTGCAGGTTGCCCACTTAACAGGTGATAGCACCCGAAGCGCACGAGCAACTTATGAACAACTTGTGAACACACAAACATACACCCATACATGTTTACGTCATATACCTAGTGTGGACATTCCTTTGTTTTCGTGTAGTTGAGAAAAACCTGTGAAAAAAATCATTTTACTCACACTGAAAAATGATTCAACCCAATTTGTTTTCTGTGATTCCCTTGAGTGTTTCTCTTAATTTTACCACGGATAAACCTAACCCAAAAATGCCTCTAAACCTGTTGTCTAGAGAGGGGGAAACACTGTGAGGACGTGGGCAAGTCCAAGCAACGTCACTGCTACCTGGTTTATGTGCACCTCTTTTGTTCAGAAGTCCACACAGTGAAAGCTTGTACACCCTTTGCAGTTTGTATTGTAGCGGTGATATAAGTTTGTCCCTGTTCATACAATGAGGATTAAAGTTTTGAAAACAGACTTTCATTGGCAAAACTATGCCATTATTATAAAGGTGAAAACAGGGGAATCGCCTTTTGACGTCATCCAATAATCACCGTTAGAAGCAACGTTATTGCCTGACAGGATAACAGTTTTGTTTTAAAAAAAATACAAGATAACATTGAAAACATTTTTTCCTTTGGTTGTCTGGTTTGACAGAATGCTTCAAAATTAAGTTAATTTAATTTTCTCTACTAGTGAATGATTCCTGGAAAGTGCACAGGCACTGTAGCTCGGAAGCCTCGGGAATATTATAGAGACTGAACAATTCAATCCACATGTCGGCCTGGGTGAGGTTCAAACCTGGGTCAGCGAGTTGGTAGACAAGCAACATATCAAAAGTGACAAATTGTTCTGTTATGGGTCATTCTATAAAACTGGGGTCCTCTTTTTGTCCCGTCCCTGTTACATCTGACATCTATGATTTTATAATTCTGATGTACTCCTTAATGCAGTCATCCTCCAAGAGTGATTGTGAATAGCAAACTACCTACCCAACAAATAAAACTGTGTGAAGTCATTCTTAGTGATAATACTACAATGGTTACTTACATCTACAAAGTACCAAGGTAGCAGGGATGGGAAAAATGACCATTAGTTTATGGAATGATCCACATTTCTTTGTTAGCATTACTTGTGAGCCGTTTGTTCTTGTTTCATTTTTAGACCTGTGCGCGTGATGGATACCAGTGCCAGTGTCAACAATCAATGCAATGATGAGCTTGTCAGGAAGTCTGGTGGCCTGGCTTACGACGTGTCATTGTATGACAACCACATGGAGACTGGTGCCAAACTAAAGGTATGCCCTCTAATTTATCATCAAACATCAAAAAAACGAAATGATCAAATTATCACAAAATACCTCAATTGTTAGGGACTGACATTCTAAAGCATCCTGTAAAACTGTAGCTCCTGGTATGCTGACATTTTCAAGAAAAACTGTATTTTTCCAACGCTGGTCGGCCGACCAGCGTTGGAGAAAACTGGCTTTTTTCAAAAACTGTTCCTATTTTATCATATTTAGTTATTCTGCCTTTTCTTTGCAATTGATTACCCTGTGAAGGGGTACAAGCCTGCTAGACTGATTCTCTGACCTTACAATTCCCCAAAGTGTATTAATTGCTCCGATTCATCTTAAGTGGGGTCAAGGAACCAGACTACAAGAACATGATAAGTTTTTTTGGTTTTTCCAGCATCTACAAGCCGAAAACGTGAAACAAGAATAAGCCAATTTCACAATCAGCAACAACTTAGTCACAACAACATCAACCCAGTCTATAAAGGTCATATACAAGATTTGCTTTTTCTGTAATTTTCAGAAATGGATGGATTTTGGGGGTTAGTATTTTAATTTTAGTAATTTTTGTCCAGCCTGGTCAGTTCATCAAAATCTGCAACCTGCACGTGGCCAAGTTTCTGCTGCCTGGGAGGCCAGACAACACCGCGGAGATGGTGGAACTTGTGTTGCATCATGGGACATCGTACGGCCGAGGCATCATTGCGCTGAAGGAATGGGAACAAGGGGTCAAAGATATGATCAAGTGAGATATCTTTGTCTTTCTACCAAAAAAAAAAAAAAAAAAAGTTTTGAAATTCTGTAACGTAAACTCGAGTGCTTTCTATTGAAGTTACTGGGGTTCCATTCCACATCGGTTCAACATGAATATATACGAATTGGAGTGTTTTTTTTTTGCAAGATTTGCTTTTCAAATTTCTTTTTACCAATTGAATTTTTGTTTCTTTGTAACAACTGACTTCTCATGTAACAAAAAGAAATCGTATTAATAAATACCTTGGAGAGTCGATGGTTTCTGATTGGTCGAGACTCAATCACGTGGCCGGTCATTAACGGTGATAATGGACCGGCTTCAAAGATCAAGCGAATAAATGGCCCCTGAACCAGCATTGATCCAGCCCCATTCAGCCCCATGCAAGCCAATGATTGGTCAAAATATAGTAACAGTCCTGCGGTAGCTTGTAACAATTGAGCACTGCACATGCACTCAACCCCCATCGCGTGAGACGCGCGCGTACGCAACACAGTTGCTAGGGATGCGTGCGTGCGCGCGCGTAAGGAAGTTTTGAAACGACATCGTACAGCAGTGCAGTATCCGGTTCGTTAGTAAAAACGTCACACACGCACGCGCACCACTGATAACTAGCGCCCATTGGATAAACGTTCGAGGTGCGTTAACTTCCGGTTCCATTCGTGCTATGCTACACCGTGTGAAGTACGCATGGTGACGTCATACTAACGAACCGGATATACTGAGGATGTTTACGACGAAAGCGTAGATCTACGATTTATTTTCTTTGAAACACTTCACCCACCGACATATTTACCTTTCCTAAACCAAGCATCTTTGTAATTCCGGACTCAAGGAATGTGTAAACGAGATTTCAGCTTCCTCCATCAGGTAAAGATATGAAAACATTGTTGTAATTTGTTTCGCTACGGCAGCAGTTTCTGTTGAGTTTACGTCGTTATAGCTGTTAAGCTAATATGGCCCATGAACATGAACACAAAAAAGTCTGGAAATATCGCCGGAAAAAAGTCACAAAATTGGAGCATTTTCACTATTTATTTCGTTATAAAGGTATTTATTAATGGGAATAACAGTGTGAGGATCCGGTCTTCACTGCGTGATAATGACCGGGTGTGGGGGTGACCACTGTTAATGGACCTCAACTTCGTCTCGGTCCATTAACAGCGGTCACCCCCACACCCGGTCATTATCACGCAGTGAAGACCGGCTCCTCACACTGTTATTCCCTTATTAAAAATGGGGGAAAAAAAAAAAAGGGCAAGGTTGGAGAGTCGTAACTGCATTTTTGAGCTAATCATCAACAAGATTCGGCATGTGCTGCCAGTAAACTAATAGTTTTTGTTCTTATTCACAAAATGTGTCTCTCTGTGACAACGTTGGAGTGTCAAACAGTTTTATTAAATGTAATCAAACTTAAGCAAAATACAAAAATTACAAACTTCATTAAAAACAAATGTATTTATAAATCTCCACTTATCACAAATGTAACTAATCTTATTAAAAAAACATCAGAATATTGTGCTTTACATTAAAGCCATTTTTTGAAAACCCAATTTTCGTCCTCTCAATCCCAGACGTATGGAGGACGTAGTTCAAATTGCTCCAAGCACCAGTGCAACAGCCAATCAGAATCCAGCAGGGTCACTATTGGTCAACCATGCTCCAAGCACCAGCGGAACAGCCAATCAGAATCAAGCAGGGTCCCCATCGGCCAATCAAGCAACAGATGGAACTGGAAGGGGTCTGCAATCGACCAATGGCGGCGCAGCAGGCACGCCCAGCAGGTGCATGCAACGATCCGCATCAGGTGAGAGATTCAAATCTTCTTGAAAAAAAACAAAACAATCTATGCACGTACACACAAGACTGATGTTGTTTTAATTGTAAAGTTGCGGTGCTATATTGTCAGATGCCACGTTTTTGGCGACGGTTACTTTTTTTGTCAAAAAAGGTTCATTGCTCCCATCCTTTTAGCAGGTTAAAGCTTTTGACAGCTCACATGCTTAGGCCTACTGCAAAAACATAATATCCATGCAGCACACAATGTTTAACTGTCGCGCTTTGCATACAACTTTGAACGGCGCAGCACGCTTTGCATACAGCTTTGAACGGCACAGCATACTTTGCGTACAACTTTGAACGGAGCAGCACCCTTGCGTACAACTTTGAACGGCGCAGCACGCATTGCGTACAACTTCGAACGGCGCAGCATGCTTTGCATACAACTGTGAACGGCGCAGCATGCTTTGCGTACAACTGTGAACGGCGCAGCATGCTTTGTGTACAACTTTGAACGGCGCAGCACGCATTGCGTACAACTTCGAACGGCGCAGCATGCTTTGCATACAACTGTGAACGGCGCAGCATGCTTTGCGTACAACTGTGAACGGCGCAGCATGCTTTGCGTACAACTGTGAACGGCGCAGCATGCATTGTGTACAACTTTGAATGGTGCAGCACGCTTTGCGTACAACTTTGAACGGCGCAGCATGCATTGTGTACAACTTTGAACGGCGCGGCACGCTTTGCGTACAACTTTGAACAGCGCAGCAGGCTTTGCGTACAACTTTGAACAGCGCAGCATGCTGTTGCAGCTGGTAAATGTAAAACTTGATTTCAAATATTTGAATATATGGTTGAATGCAGTTTCGAAAAATCAAACACTAATTTATTCGGAAATGGACAGCCTTACCATCTACACATGGATGTTAATATTTCCCACAATGCACTGCAGGTAAAGTGGGATTTATGACTGAATGGTAGCAAGTTAAAAAATTTTGAAATACTCCATAATTGCTTGTTATTGCTACATTTGTCATTGTAATTTGTTTATGTGATGCTTTTTTTAATGCAAATATTGTTTTGGGGTGAATTAATAACATTGTTCATTGTTCATGTTAACCCCCCCCCCCCCCCCCCATTCCACCCCACCCCCAACAGTGATAACTGATCATTTCCATCAGAGGACATCTCACATCGCAGATGTCATCAGCAGCGATGCACCCAACAAGTTTCGTCTCCGAGCCAAAGTCGTGGACTATCTGCCTAACAATATCCTCGACATCATTCATCTCTACTGCTCCAAGTGCAAATTCAGGTGCTGATTTTTCTGATTCACCGGAAGACAAAATTTTATTAGTTTCACTTTGGGACCGACTTCGGACTGAATAACTTGTGATGACCTTGTAATTAAGTTGTGATTGAGTTGTGATTGACTTGTGATTGACTTTTGATTGACTTGTGATTGACTTGTGCTTGACTTGTGCTTGACTTGTGATGTCTTGTGATTGACTTATGATTGACTTGTGATTGACTTGTGATTGACTTGTGATTGACTTGTGCTTGACTTGTGATGACTTGTGATTGACTTGTGGTTGACTTGTGATTGACTTGTGATTGACTTGTGATTGACTTTTGATCGACTTGTGCATGACTTGTGCTTGACTTGTGCTTGACTTGTGATGACTTGTGATTGACTTGTGATGACTTATGATTGACTTATGATTGACTTGTGATTGACTTGTGATGACTTGTGATTGACTTGTGATTGACTTGTGATTGACTTGTGATTGACTTGTGATTACCTTGTAGTTGACTTGTGATGACTTGTGGTGACTTGTGATTGACTTGTAATTGACTTGTAATTGACTTGTGATGTCTTGTGATTGACTTACGATGACTTGTGATAACTTGTGAGCACTTGTGATTGACTAGTGATAACTTCAGATGACTTGTAATTGACTAGTGATGACTTGTGACTACTCAAGACATTATAAAGAGTACAATTGTGATTTACTGCTTCCCCATCCAGATGTAGAGTACCCCCATCCCAAAAACCCGAAACGCCAGAAAAAGCTGGTACTCCCAAGAAAGCTAGCTCTGCAAAGCCAGCTTCACCAACGAAAGATGCGGTGAGGAAAAACGAGTACAACCTGAGGAGCAACACCTCCAAGGAAGCAGAGGCCAAGAAACAAGAGACGACCCAAGGGGTTTGCACCAGGAGCGCCGCGCAGAGGACCCAAAAAGACAGTCCAAGGAGAAGGGCCGGTATCGAGAGCCCTGCCCAAAGACGGCCCAGCAAGCCCCCAGCGTCAGGAGGCTCATCAGCTGAGGAAAGTTCACCTGGGAGGTTCTTGACTCTGAGGAAGCGTCCTGCGACTGCCGGGGTGTCTGAGGACGAAGGCCCAACCAACTCCAGGCCCCGAAAGAACCGCCGGGGGACCTCAAAGATGGCCGCCGTGTCGGACCAAGGGACGGCTCCGCCGGCGAGAGAGGACGGTGGGATAGAGGTTGTGGACAGCAGCAAGCAGGATGCTGGCGAGATCAGTGAGGCAGCACCCGAGGATCTGGGGAAGAGGTTGACAGAGACCGACGTCTACGGACGGAGCATCACGGCAGTGGTGCAGAGTAGCGGTGAGGAGGCGGCGGTAGAGGGGGTGGCGTTGGGAGTTAATTTGAGGAGGAGACGGAAGATCAAGGTGGATGTGGACAGTGAGTATAACTGCTGTCTGCAATATAAATCAATAAAGGCTCTGAGTGATATTTCTAACATTGTTCACAAACAGCTGGTAAAGGTACGAACACAAATTTATTACATTCTTGAAAAAAATCCTTGTTTAGCATCATTGGAGACATTTAGCTATACCATTATCGGTCAATTCATTGTTTCACATCGTGTTCGCATAGTTATCAGAACTGTTACCATTATAAGTAGTAATTCACAACATTGATCCTCTTTCAAGTAAATCGTACGTGATTAAATAAATTAACAACAAAGAGGGTAAAAATTGACAATGTTTGAGGCGTTCTGGAAAAAATGAGACGGAATTGGGCATAGGCCATAGTGGAGAAAAATGCAAAAAAACAAATGGGCATATTTTTTTCAAATTTCAGAATTTTTGATATTTATAACCTACGGTATATCTACTACACATGTTATAAAGAAATGGTATTAAAATCGTGGAATAAAAGTGTTTTTAAGGAAAACCAAATGGCACCTTTCATTTGAACATCTATAAAACTTGAAACTTTAAAGGCCGCCTTCTTAGTATTTTACTTTTAAACATATCAATAAGTGCAAACTTTAAACTGCCATAACTTGTCAACTGAATGTCCAATGGAAGTACAGCAAACAGTATTGTAAGGAGAATTTTGTTCTCCTTCCTAATACCCGCAAACCCTCATTTTGAACTCTTGCCCAGTTCTGCCTCTTTTTGCCAGAACTCTTAACATATACTGTGTGTTTCACAGTGACACGTAGCACGCGATATATCCGTGCAATGTACCCGAAATTGATTTCATCATCCAGTTAGAAAATTACTAAAAATAGACAATTTCATGAAAAATTATTCCACAGGCTTGACACCCATGGAAGCACTGTTGATGGTACGCCTTGGAATGAGACTCATCCACCACGCTGACGTGCCGACCAGTAATGGTCACCTGACCATTCGGGGAGCCAATCATCAGTCTCCTGACGGTCAGGTGTTTTACCTCTGCCCTCGGTGTTCAACAGTTGGTGATTCGCAGGCTGTCCAAGGTATACGTTTGTGACCCCGACGGTACTTTTCCATAAATCGTTTTTGTTATGTTAGATCATGTCTTGGATGCTGTAATATCATTGGTCTAGAACGGACACATGCCCAGTCTATAAAAATGACAGTTATGACCAGTGTTCTAGCCAGGCATCAAATAGCGCTAGCACCCGCTACGCTTTCGGAAATAAGCGCTACGCTTAAATCGCGCCGCTACGCTACCGCTACGCTATAAATTTTGGTTGCGATAAAAAAATATCTGCCGTTTGTTCGTATACAAGCACAGCGACTTTGAGCATTGCGCACTGGCCGTACGACACAGCGAAAAATAAACAACGATCCCACCGCACGTACCCCGTACGATACCCCTACCGTGATGCTGCACCACACGCATTCGCTATGATAGCAATAAGCACGTGCTGTTTTGTGCTGCGTAGATACAGCGCTCCGTACGGACGTACGTGGACCACACCATTTTGCGCTATCGGGTGTGCTTTCCTGAGGTCAATATTTACAAGCATTTCAACTGTTTTAAAATTATAAAAAAGACTTTTTATCAAGTCCGAAACATATAACTGTTTGAAAATAAGTCCTTCAAACGTCGGAACATAATTTTCGTAAAGGATTTATTAGAGAAACGATGTCCAAAGAAAGGTTAAGCACCCCTACGATATCAATGGATCCGTCCCCAAAGATGGCCGCACGTGAAGAATTCTTCTCGAAGAATGTCGCTGTCGAAAATTTGGATTTTTGACTACACTACTCGTTGCTGATAATAACAGTTCAATAAGTTTGGTAGTAAAAACGGATCTGTTTGTTCTTAGGACAAAACCAATCAGCAAGTATTGCAACAAAACAAGTTTTTTAGCGCTCCACGAATGCGTAGCTTTCTCAAATGCTGAGGGAAATTTGGTCACGTACTCAGCCTCGCGGCGTAGTTCGCCTGCGTAGCCGGTGTGGGCTGGCTTGCGCCGCGCCCGCACGCCGGGCCGGCCGGGGCCGGCCACGGCCGGGATAGGAAGCAATTCCCGGTGATTATTTCTCATCGTCATTATCTACAATTATATTTTTTAACATAACAAAAATGAGATTTCTCCTTCACATTGTGTTGTAGCATATTGAAATTGCAATCGCCGACGACTTTTTATGTCTGAGACCTCCATGGTTTTACAATTTCTCTCCCTGCCGATCGGATGGTTTTATTTACAAATTTAAAATCGGAACTACTGCTACTACGGCAGTGCTACACAACACAAGGCTTCTTGAAATATGAAATGTTCATGCGATTTGTTCTCACACTTTATATTGACAAAGTAAATCCCAATTTTTTATAAAACATTGAGGAACTATTAAAAATGGTTAAACATCAGAAAGCATGGATCTTGGAACAACTTATACATTGTAAACGTAATCTAAAATTTGAAAACAGAAGAAACTTTACAGGAGCAAGAGTATTATTAATCATTGAAACAAATAAAACAAAATTTCTTATAATTTTAAACACTTCTGCTAAAAAAAATCAGGGGAAAGTGGCAGGGAATTGCCTCAGATTGCACCACAGAGCATCTAGAGTCCAAAATTTTTTGGGGGCTCTTAAGCGGGCCCCGGACCCCACGCCGTAAGGGCTCCGCGCTCGCATTAGTCGCCGAACCAAAATTACCCCTACGCTATAATTTCACCCTGGCTAGAACACTGGTTATGACTGAATGATTCCATATATACACTGCGTTGCATCTCGTACATGTATACACCGCCTTGCATGTAAATTATCTGATGACACTGCGTTGCATATTATTGCGCGCGCGTGAAGGGTGCATGTGTAGGGCACGCCCGCCTCGCAACAGAGAACTTGAACCTCTCAATATCATGTCTGGCAGGAAAGCTCACTGTCAAAGGTTACACTGCCATGATTTGATATGTTTCTTGAACAGTATGTTAAAACCCTTGATCTTAATACTGGCACGATATAACAAAGCAATGGTTGACTGCTGCGATGTGGGATATGTCATTTTTTGACTCTCACTGGGCCGGGCACACAGCACCCTAAGTACAGCAGATTGGTGATAAGATTGTTCAATTTGATGATAAAAGCATGGCATTTGGCACACAGTCAGAGTATGTCATGGGAAAGATATGTGGCTATAGAGCAATCGCAGATTTCTCCTTTGAAAAAAATACCAGAGAATAGCAAGCAATTTTCTAAATTTTCCAAATGGCGGCCATTGCATGTAATTCTATGATATTTTTGTCAAAGGACAAATCTGAGATGGCCCTATAGCCAAATATCTTTTCCATGACATACTCTGTGTGCCAAATGTCATGCTTTTATCATCAAATGAACAATTCCGTCATATTGTGTACCGATCTCCCTGGGCTTCGCCAAGGGTGCTAAATTAAATTTTAACTTGTATTCAACAAAATGCCTTATGAAAAAAGGTAATTCAAAATAATGGGTTAGTATTACATATGTGAAGGGAGTGTGTGGCCTAGTGGTTAGGGTTCGTGACTCATGATCAGAGGGTCTGGGGTTCGAATCCAGCCGCTGGTCATATATTGTGTCCTTGGGCAAGGCACTTCACCCCCACTTGCCCCTCTCCACCCAGGAGTATAAATGGGTACCGGCATTAGCTGGGGAGTAACCTGCGATGGACTAGCATCCCATCCAGGGGGAGTAGAAATATTCTCAGTCGTTTCATGCTACTGAAACCGGAGATAAACGCCGGCCTGATGATGAGCCACATTGGCTCGGGACAGACTTTACTTATTACATGTATTAGGTATGTGAACACTGTCAGTGTGGGTGCATCTTAAAGGGTGGTGTGTCAGCTTGCCATTGATGTCCTACTTGCATCCTGCACTCATCAACGACTGAGAACCCTTAATTTTAACCGAAGGACAAAAACTGTCTTTTGTCAAACTTGGCCGATTCTGAGCAGTGAGATGAGCTGCCCGAACAATTACCGTCTCTGTGAGCTGTGTGTTGGAAAGGGGAGCCCATAAAGTTCACAGGGGTGTGCATTGTTTAGCCAGCTCACACTATCAATAAATCGGAGCAACTTGGCTAAAGGTTTTGAAATGATGTTTTGAAATCAGCGGTGCTCAGTCATCCAATACTGTAGGGGTGCAAGTAAGGTATCAGCGAAAAGCTGGTGAACCACCCTTGCATATGAAACCACAGTGACAATGTTCAAGCCCAGCATTTTAACATACTGACTGAATCTGTTTGGATTACGTTATTTTATACTCCCTCTAGAGTAAGTGCGAGCGCCATGTCAAATTACAGGACAAATGAACTAACGTTTCACATTTGCTTACCAACAACAATAAAACAATACTATTGTTTATTGGCGTGGTCAGTTGTTATAATTGTTAGTATTTCCTTTCAGACGATGCCCCTCTCCTTCAGTACAAGTACTGCTTGAAGCTCTGTCTGGACGATGGCACCGGCCGCATTGAGGTCATACTTGACAGGCAAAACGCAGTATGTATCTGTCTGTAAAATGTTCAATAACTCGTCAAACTTAACATTCCATCTGGCATAGAGTACCAAAGTATGACGTCATTAAGAACCAGAAAGTGTAGTGCAAACGAATGGAGTACGCGAGCGTGTTGGTTCACGGGCTGAATCACGCGTTAATGTTTTTACACGCATTTTGTGCGCGTGCAGTACAGAATTAATGTTCAAATATGATCAATTCATCATAATTGCTATTGATCTAAATGAAACATCTCTGTTATAAATAGAAATTTCATAATTTCATTTCAGCCCCATGCCTTTTTGAAATCGGAATGTGACAATACTTTTGGAGAGGTAACAATCAGAATATGTTCAACTTACTCTCATTCTCTAAAAAATGATTCAATTTAATAGCAGTTGGATTTTTCATTCGAGGAATGACTTTTGGCATTCATCGATGAGCAAATGTTAAAAAGATGGACAGCAGAAATATTTTATGATTTTAGATGTAAAAGGGTTGTTGAGAACCATATTGGGTATGGAGAGACAGAATGATTGACGCCGTGAACGCATTTTTATGTAGAATATTTTTTTAATTTGCCAATAAAAAAGGAAGAGTTTATTTCCAAAGTGCATTATACGCCATTTTGTTCCCTTTTAGAATCCCACTCTCTCCTGGCTGCCTAAAATCAGTCTCGACAGCTGTTGTATAGTTAAACACAATTTAAGAATACAATAAAGCGAAAAATGAAGTGTAGAAACAGCTGTTACACTGTTTATATTCTTTAAATAAACTCTTCACGTGTATGGTTGGGCCATAACAATAGGGTCAGTTGGATAACTGGAAACAGAAGTAAATTTTATTTTTTTGGCCAGATTGAAACTTTAATCATTTTAGACTTGACTGAGATTCCTTCTTGTCTCCCCCCCCCCCCTCCTTTCTCCTAGCAAACCTTTTTCCAGGGTATCCGAGCCACCAACCTCCATACTTCCCTTAAAGCCAGATACAAACTCGAGGAAGCCATGGCCACACTGTGTCCTTACCCGGCCGGTACAGGGTTCGATTCCCAGTCCAGCGACGGGACGACGTCCGTCCACGATCTGACCAGCCACCCCTGGCTGGACTGCTGCATCATGTCATACCCGGACAACCTCGGAGGGACAGAGATCATCAAGTATCACATGTTTGACACCACACTCGCTCTGGACGTAGAGTAAGGTTTGGTTCCCTGGTTAGAGGTTCGATTCCTAAACGGTCATCTTTGGAAGTACAGAGATCATCAAGTACGAGTTGTTCGACACAACACTCAGTATGGATGTACAGTAGAATTTGGTTTTTCTGGTATTAGAGGTTCGAATCCCGGATGGGTCAACCTCTGAAGTACGGGATCATGAAGTATGAGATGTTCGACACCACACTAGCCCTGGAGGTAGAGTAGAATTTGGTTTTCTGGTTAGAGGTCAGAATCCCTAATTCGTCTACCTCTAAAGTAGGGAGATCATCAAGTTCGAGTTGTTCGACACCACACTTGCTGTGGACGTAGAGTAGGGTTTGGTTTACTGGTTAGAGGTTCGAATCCCTGATGGCTCAATTTTGGAATTACTGATATCATCAAGTATCAGATGTAGAGCAGTGTATAATTTCCTGGTTAGAGGTTCGATTCCTAAACTGGTTAACCTCGGAGGTATCAAGATGGTCAAGTACCAGCTGTTTGACATTGCACTTGCTCTGGGGGTAGGGTAGGCTTTGTTTTTCTGTTTAGAGGTTCAACTCCCATATCTGGGACACATCTGGTCGAGCAATAACGACCGTAATTGGTCAAAACATCACTGGGTGAGGCTGAATGTATTCCGGTTCCCAGACCAAAAGATTCCGACAAATTTTAGGTCTGGTAGCCCTCACGTTAAAAAATAGGGCATGATGACACAGAAAGCCCGAGCCTCGTTGGAGTGATACTTGAGGCACAACGTCTACAGTGTTACATTAATGCAGATATTGACATTTTTAGATGCTAGCAATGAATTTATGAACTCAAATTCTTAAGCTCTGGCAGGAGCTTCTACATGTTACTTGGTGGTCGGTCTGTCGGCCTGTCTGTCTGCCTGTCCCCGAAAATTGACCAAAAGTATGGTGTTCCATATGTGCCATCAATGTCGCATTTTTCGGCATCACGTTTTTTATCTCTGGCAGTGATCATTTTGATCAATTTCATACAAGACTGTCGTGCAAAACTTCTTGCAGCACGGCCAGAGCTTATTGTGCATTAGCACTTTTTTAAAAACTGATTACAAGCACGACAAGTATTTTGTAGGTAACTAAAAACTACTTTACGCCCAGAGATACTCAAGCTATTGCGAACATATTTGATTGTCAGTGAAATGAATTCAGTAAACTTTTTGGACATTTTGGTCATGTTTAATTTGTACCCGTCGTGGCTACCTGATTTGTTAGAGTCGTCAGCAACGTTTGATCTAGGAACCATACTAGGCTTAATGGCTAAGCCTGCTGGGGAGGGGGGGGGGGGGTGGCACAGAAAATGGATTATTGGCCAGTCAACATGGCTGTCACACTGATTGTGTGACAGTGCAAATGGCCGGATGAGTTCCTAGGCATTAATTAACAGACAGAGAGATAATGCTAGTTTTTGACAATAAAAACTTTTACAAATTCCGAATTCCTATTCATAACTGCATATATTTCTGGCAGAGAGATTGTATATTTCCAAAGCTTTTCTTACAAAAAAAAGGAGTAAAGCTGTTTGCTTGCTTTGTATTTTACATATATCTTTCTCTTTTTTTATACTCAACTTTTGTTACATTTGCATTTTGATGCTATGACCTCACTTAGAGGTCACCAACTTGTTGCCATAGCAACTAGCTCCCGCTTTTAGAGGCGAGTTGATGTATGGTGTAACATTCGCATTTTGGATTCTATTTTTCCTGCTCTTTTAAAGCAAGACATTGATGTGACTCGGTAACAGATGGAGAGGTTGGGGAGACCGTGCACTGGGAGAGACATTAGAACGCATTGCTGACAGTGCCTGATGCATCTGAAGATGTTATGGGTTTTGTTCGTATTCAGGATAACATTAGAAGCACTTAGTCTGCGCCATATACCTGTGAACCAGTGTACGTGAATTACGTACATCCGAGGACAGACAAACAAAGGGAGAACAACAGATTCTTTGTTGTCCTTGAGGGTTCATCTTGTGTTGCAAACGGTCTTTTGTGTGCTTAGTCTATGGGAGAGTGCTATATTATAAGGACAGAGGAAAGACAATGCCTTGTCCTCGAGAGTTATGTAAAACACGACTGTGCGCACACGCGATGTGTCCTCCCAGTAGGGATCTTTAAAGTGGTCACAAAACACCATCAGCTGTTCATGCACAGAGTCTATATACCTTGTTCACGATGAAGCCATTTTTGATCGAGTTCCCTGAATTTTATTTACACATACGTGATTTTTTCGCACGATAATGTCGCACGTATATATCGCATGTATATATACACGCATTAATCAATGAGCGCGTTTACATTTACGTGACAAAGTCGTACGACTTATCACGCCAATAATTTTTAAAAATCTCGCATCATATCGTGTATTGGTTCGTTTACAAGCACGCGTGTGCGACATTGCTGCCCGACATAGTCGTAATTTGGCCTTGTAAACTGTTGAATGGGATGGTGCCAGACTAACTATGCGTTCCAAGCCTCACTTTTAATTTCTTTTATAATTTGGCTTCAAACATTAGCGTATCATTAATCATCAATTTTGAATTATCCATCAGAGCAGACTGGTATTAATTTGTAATTATCTTATTTCATTACTTTCATTTCTGTTCTTAAGTTCCAAAAATAAAGATATTATCTCGCTTTCAATTTAATGTGGCCGACACGTGAATAAGGCCTATTGAACCAATAGAACACCAAGCCACTTGCATGGTGTGTTTATTTGACGCTGTCATTCTACACATAGAAAATAGGCAAGGCACTTTCATCAAGTTCCTTTATGTACGAAGTCAGCCAAACAATGGCCGTTTTATTTCCACACATATACCACTTGTACAGCTGAATATTACAAAATTTGTACAAAGAAATGTAAGACTGTGTACAGGTTTTCGATAACATTTTTAAAACATTTGGACAAAAAATAGTTTTTTCTGCTTAAAATGTAAAATATGCCAAAAACAAAGAAACTCCATGTATTATAATCGGCCCTGTAATAAACCAGCTATGCATGATTTTTCTGAGGACAAAATAAACAAACAGCTTTTGTCAATTCATGTTTTACATGTACAAAGCTACGAATGTACACCAGGCATATTTGTGAGGCCCTCTGGCAAAATGAGATGAAACTGGGCACAGGCCATGTAGTGGGAAAAAAAGGGGAAAAAACCTGAATGCGGTTGATTTATTTTTTCGATTTTCCAATCTGTTGATATTAACAACCTTTGATATGTCTACCACACATATATTAAAGAATAGTATAAAAATTGTGGAGTGAAAGCGTGTTTAAGGAAAACCAATTGGCTTCTTTCATTTGCACGACTACAAAACTTTTAAGGCCCTTTTCTCAGCATTTTACTTTTTGACATTTTACTTTTTTGACAAGTGCAACTTTAAATAGCCATAATTTGTCGACGAAATGTCCGATTGAAGTGGAACAAACAGTATTACAAGGAGAATTTTACACTTTCCTATACCCGCAAACCCTCATTTCGACCTCAATTTTTGTCTCGTTTTGCCAAAACGCCTCGCATTTATTTGATACAATTTTTGGGGGGGGGGGGCAATATTTTTTTCCCCTGTTGTCAATCTTTGAGTGCATTTGAGTAGCTACACATGACTTTCAAATTTGTTTCTTCACAATATGCTACCATGGTTTTTTTCCATGACTTATTTTCTTTTTAGGTCTGTAAATGGAAAACTACTCTGCTAATACATCTTGTGATTAAAATGACTAAATAAATTTGAATAAAGTTCTTTTTTGTAAGAAATGGTAGTTGATTTTTTTTTCTCAAAATCACTGTACCACGGCATACTGACTGAGCAGTGACCTGCTTACACATTAATCATTTCCTGTTGTTTCTTGCATAAACATTTAATTAAAAATTAAATATAAAATTGTTTCTCAAATCGATTTGATCAAAAAAATTAGATATAAAAATTAATAAAAGTAGATGCACCAGTCATTTCAATTTTACAAAAAAAAAAAATACTAAATAAATACAAGGTACGAAAGTGATGATTTTTATCTTTAGAAATCATTCTCATGGCAAATATGGGGACATTTGTTTTGTCCATTGAGAAAACTCATGGAGTTATTTAGAATCCAGTTAGAGACTCATATTCCATTTAAAACATTCATTTCAACTTCAGGGTTAGCTTTTCACAAAGTTTTTCCAACCCCCCAACCCCCCCCCCCAAAAAAAATACCACAACAAATATTTGAAATATCATATACAAAACCCTGCTGATTGTCTCTCTAGTATTCAGATGTTCCCATTTTTAAGAAACAAAACAGCAAATATGTGAAGAAAAATAAAGGAAAGAATGTAGAATCCGCAAAACCACTTTGGTAGTTGTTTACAAAGTCTATAGAGAGTCCTAAACATTTTCTTAATAATTTTAAGAAATAATTTTCATTTAAAATTTCTTTTTCCTTAAAATTGTTGTTAATAACCATCATTGAGGTTAAATATGTTTTAAAAAAAGTGGCATCTGGATACTGCATTCTTTTGAAACTATATTCTTGATAAAGGCTTGTTCTATGTTTATATTTTTTTATTCCATATGCTCCTCTGATGGGTGAAACAGACTGAAGTTATTTCACATGTTACAACTGTACATGTTACACTTAAAAAAAGTATTGGTTTAAACCCTGTAGAAATAATATTCAAAGTCCCTTGAAAATATTAAGTGACAGAAAATATTGCTTCTTCTAGATGATGTGAAATAAGTTACAGGGAGCTAAAAAATAAACCTAATAATTTACTAATAGTTTCTGATGGGCTTTATGTGAGTTGCATAAATTGAATTCTTAAAGGCAAGAAGATATTAATTAGTAATTGATAGTCACAAACATGAGGAAATTCAAGGCTTTAAAGGGATTATACAACATTTGCAAACATAAAAAAAAACTACCAAATTATCACGAAATACCTTACTGGACTGTTTAGTGAATGACAGTGAAGCATCCTGTAAAATCCTGGTACCTGGTGTGCTGACATTTTCAAGAAAAGTGGTATTTTCGTATCAATTTCCAATGCTGGTCGGCCGACCAGCATTTGAAAACAATGGTGTGTTTTTCAAATACTGCTCCCAATTTATCAAATTTAGTTAGTCCGCATTTTCTTTGCAATTGATCACACACCTGTGAACGGGTACAATCCAGCTACACTGGTTCCCTGACCTTACAATTCCCCGACGTCTATAAATTACTCCGTTTCATCTTAAGTGGAGCCAGGGAACCAGACTACAAGAACATGATTGTTTTTATTTGTTCTTTGGTTTTTCCAGCATCTGCGAACCAAGTCAGTGTAACAATATTTGCTATAAAATGCTAATCCCCCAAATCCATCCATTTCTGAAAATTACAGCAAAAGCAAATGTTGTATATTCCCTTTAAAATACTTTAATTTTTTTTAAACTGTGAAAGTGTAATTGTTATGATCGGTACCCCAAAAAAAACCAAAACAGTTTAACGTGGCATAGCTTGACTTGGGCAAATCATACTTAAAAACCAAATCACAAAACAAATCTACAATGTTTTTCTTCTGCAAATTATTATCTCATTTTTTCCCTGATCTATAGTTTGTTATTTACAACTAAACAAAAAATCAGTTTTATATTATAAAACCTCGTCAAGCCCTGGAGGATGTGTTTGGATTGTAAAACTCATTATCCAAGATTTTGTCTCAATTTAAGAAACCTTTGTGGTGTCTTCATGATAAAGACAGGGTCCCATCTCGGATGTCAAACACGGATAATTGTGGTTACAACTCTGCAAATTCCTCCGCAAAAAACTTGTCACATAGAACAAAGCTTTATTCTTAAAACTTCATATTGTGTACATGTATACATGTATATTCGCAAATAAGAAAGAAAACCCTTTTGACATTACAACAAAATGACGATCTCTGTACAAATTTTTACTCTAAAAAAGGGTACATATGTTAAAAATAGTTTATAAATAATTTCTTTCTATCTGCATATTCTCAAAAGTCTGCATAGTTCTGTAAAATGAAAACATCGATAATTTTTTTTATATATGGATACACAAATATATAGATACAAAAATGTATGTACATAAGATATTTCCATCAATATACACAGACATACTGGACTCGCATTGCTAATGAAATCATTCAAAAAAACATATTTACATCAGAAGGTGTTGATAAAACAACGTGACCTCCATAAAAGTATCTCATGAAACAATGGGGTTACGGTAAAAAAAAAAAAAGTGTGATTTCACACTATTATCTCAATTTTTGTCAAGAGTGGTCAAGTGTTCTTACAATTTTTTAAAGCTTTTTGCATTACTTAGTCTCGGCTCTTTCAATGTTTTTAGTTTATGCTTTTGATAACTTGGTATTTAAGAAAAGAAAGTGTATGAGGCAATCTGATGACTGGGCGTGCCACAGTGAAATAGCTCCTAGAAGATGTTTGGTACGCCCAAAACTGACGGTCTATCTGAACATAGGCAACAATGGGTACGGGCGTGTCAAGGGCGTGTCAAGGGCGTGGCTCCGGTGATATCTCCATCAGGGTGCAGTCTCTTCAGGGCGGAGTCGAGCTTATGCAGGAGGCTCCTTTTGCAGATGTGGTCTCTAAAACGGACCGATAAGGCAATGCCCCTTAGCCTTAGGGCGTGTCCATTCAAGGCGGGCTCCCTTTGGGCGGGTCTTACTAAAGGGCGCCCCCCCCTCCCTTTGTGACAGCTCATTCCAGTTGGACCTTCGAACAGGTTTACAATAGTGTGGTGCTTAAGATGTCATTCAAGGCGTGGTCTCTTTGGGTGTGGTCTCTTTGGGCAGGTCTAACCGAGGGCAGCCCCCTTTTGTGACAGCTCAATCCAGGTGGACCCGGTTTAAACAGGCTTACGGAGGCGTGGTCACTTTGGGCATCAGTGCGAGGACCCCTTTAGGATGGGTTGAACTGGGCGTGGCCCTCCTTTGGGCGTGGCCCTCCTTTGGGCGTGGCCCTCCTTTGAGTGTGGCCTCGTGGGGTGGGTTCATTGGCATGATGCAGGCAGATTGTTAGAACGTCATTGTTTTGGATATTTCCTGAACGCCCTGAGTCAGAACGGCCATCCATCTGTGGGGAAAACCAGAGGGGATTAAACTTGCAGACTGGTGGTGCATGGTTCGACTCCTGGCCGAGCTGTGTGTGATTCCTACCAGTGACACTTGTAAGCAACTAACCTACCAGAAACATCATTGTCATATTGCTGAACTCAATATCCCTGATCCAAACCCTCTTAAGATCATTGAGAACTTACAACAGGTTTGAAAAATAAAAACAATCTGTAGCTCTAAAGCCCGGTTCACACTCAGCGCCAAAGCGAACGCAAATTTGTGACGTCATGGCAAGTATTCGCGCTGCGAATTCGTAAAAGTTGAGCACATTTCAACACGGGCGAATTTCGCAGCAAACGTTTCATACCGTCAAATTCGCTTCGCATTCGCGTGGAGTATGAACCGGGCCTTATTCTTCAATTGCACAAACTTTCTAATCATTTTTACAAGTTCAACATGATTCACAACAGGATAAGAAATCAGATTGTTGAATCCTTAATATTTACGAGCTCAGCAAGGAGTAAATTCTGCCCAAGATGTTAGCATTTATCATGGAACAACCAAGAATATTTATTCTCTCCTTACATATAAGAAAAGTATGGAATCCTTCACAAAGCAAGAAAATTTGCCTCCCCTAACTTAAAAAAAAATGCTCCTCCTTACAGTGATCCCAAGTATACACTAATGTCCAGCCCCCGCCAACTTCTTGACATATTTCTCGTATCGCATCCCTGTTCGATGTCGTTCAAACAACATCCCCCCCCCCAACAAAACATTCCATTCAAAAGTTTGCAAAACTGGACACACACACACACCTTCTTTTGAGTTCTTTGGATTCAGCTGACAATGTGTATTTCTCCGTTCTTGCTTCACTGCAACTGAGTCTGAATACATGGGCCCTATCGGAATCGGTGTCTGAAAGGCTTTTGATGGAGTACCGCTTGATAGGAACGGTAATCACAGCCCGTACGTCCTGCCAGACAGAAAAGAAGAAAAAAACATGGGAAATTAATACTCGAAAGCGGGGTTCAATTCGACAACAAGGCATCCATAACTTATATCCCACATATGGCTGTGCAACGGAACCAGGTACCGGAGAACCTTACCGTTGATGTCAGGAACTGGTTCCAGATCAAGGGATTGGGTAATCGTAACCAACTTTACAATTTACCTAGTAACTTCTCCGACAATGAAAAGGCAAGGTATTGAGCATCGTTTGTGGGGAATTTTGAAAATAAGATGAGTTTTTTTTGCGTCAGGGTGATGTAAATCAAATTAGGTTTTTGCCCTTCACCGACGTATAAAGGGCAAAAACCTAATTTGATTTACATCAACCTGACGCAAACATTTTATCTTATAAATACTTAATGCGGTACCCGCTGCTATGTACATCAGATTCGAACCAGCCAACCGATCCCGTTAGCTCGGTGGTCGAGTGGTAAGACATCTGCACTAGAAAGCAGGAGGTCGTGGGTTCGAGTCCCACCCGAGTGATTTTTTTCCAACTTTCACTCGGGAGGTAACACACTGAGTACACAGTGTTTATACGTCGGTGAAGGGCAAAACCTAATTTGAATTTTGAAAATGAAAACCAGGCAACGTGGGAAAACATATTTCACGTTTCTGGCGCTCAGGAAAGTTGCAGTTTACACTGTAAGGCTATGCTTACTGTACACACTTGTATCTTGCTGTATTGTCGCACCACTAGATGACAAAAAGTCCTTGCCTGAACCAAGCAATCTGCTTACTCGTGATCGACCATAGCACTACCTACAGTTCATGCCAAGAGCTCAATGCTCTTTGTTTTTCTTTTATGCTGCCTGTAACATGCAACTGACACGACACTAACCTTGGGCGCTTTAAGTACAAACAAGTTCTCCTCCGTGACCACCACCCAAAACTTAGTCCACGCCCCTCTCTGGTGGAGATACAGGAAACTCCCAAATGAGTTGTCTTCATCTATATCGATCAACGACTGCCACACAGATGGGGATGAAACAAATATGTATATTATTCCTTTTCTCCATATCAAGGTGTCATACAAAGAAGGTGATTTGCAAAGCTAAACCGGTTGATTTTTCCTGCAATCCTGGAAACACCCTCTTCGAATTCAAAGAATTTGACTGTGTTGGGAATTGAACCTGCACGGATCGGACAGTTATGCAAGTTAGGAAAAACACAGTCTGGCATCAGAGTGTTTTTGGTGTTAATGCAAGGATGAACATTAAAAAACAAAACATGTATTGTGATACTTACCTGTCTTATAGTACTACTGATTCTCTCCGATTCGTCGTTTTTTTCCATTTATGGCGTCGGAGCATTTGACGCATACTTTGCAGACTCTGTTGCCATCAAACTCTAGTTCGGCTTCAAAGCTGCAACACTTGTGACACGCAACCTGGGTAGCAGACCGCGAGAATGAAGAGTTAGAAATCAACAATTCAGTGCTCTTTTCATTCAAAAAAAAAAAAAATCTCATAAAAAGTTGTCTAGGATTGACTCTGATAAAGGATATGTTCATGCATGGAGCAAACACTCACCGCACCGCACGCTCTGCAGTGGTGTCTCCGTTTGGTCAGCTTGAAGTCCGTTCCACACCTCATGCACATGGATGTCTCGTCATCTTTAATCCATTGGGGCTCCGTTTTCCCTGGTATAAACTGGTCCTGGGGGGGGGGGGGATACATCCACAAACTGTAAGGTCACTGCTTGACTTTTGTTCCTCCAGTTGAGTGAACTTGAATACTTTTTGTTGTGATAGTTCCTTCTAAATGAAGTGTGAGCTTTTGTTTCACGGGGACACGCATGAGCAGAACACTTGTGCATTCATCATTTCTATTTATTAAAATAATATAAAACACCTCAATGAACACAAATTGTCTACGTCAAAAAGTCTTCTTGTTTTGTATTGTTCGCTGTATAGACTTCTCCAAGTTTGCCATGGAGTGTCAGGGCCTAGCGGTTAAACGCATCACACCGAACTCATGCTCTGGTGTTTCAGAGGCAGCAGAATGTGGGTTCGAGCCCGGGTCTGGACACTTGTGCCCTTAAGCAAGGCACTTAACCATTATTGCTTCGTCCTTCAGGTGGGACGTAAAGCCCTAGGTCCCGTGTGTTGTGTAATGCATGCAGGTAAAAGAACCCAGTAACACTTATCACTAAGAGAAGGGGTTTGCCCCTGTGTTTCTTGCCTCCAGTTAAAACTCCCTGTGGAGTCTTCAGCAGAACAACCAACCAAGTACCAAGCACCAATGGTCTGATCGGTTATAACTGGGACAACAACACACCAAAAATAGGTTGACAGTAGTATCAATAATGTACCTTCAAATTCCGTGCGGCGGCGTTGTTTGTCCTGAAAGTATCCATCTTCCGAACCATCTCCTGAATGGCTGATAACAGCACCTACAAGGCACAAGACATTTCCACAGAAAAATATAGTAGGAATAGGGTAAAATATCTCACATATCCTCTATGAGTGGCTCAAGGCGCTACATCCATATTCCCTCTGCTCACTGAGCCCATAATATGTTCCAAAGACAATCTCAGCTCCAGTGGTGAATGCGGGGGGAGGGGGAGGGGTTGGCCAAGGGGGTTCAGCCACTGACTAATGTTATGATACTATTAAAATGGGATCAAAAAACAATACAATGAATGCCGAAGTTCCTAAATTTATTCTCAAAGTGGCTTACAATGCAGGAGAAAGCATCGTAGATTTCAAAACTTTCTGTTGGTGTTGCCCCCCCCCCCCAGCCGGGCACGCCTTCACTCAATGCCTACTTCATATAACACACACACAGTCATGAATTTCTATATACCCGAGGACAATGCTTTGTGTTTCCCTTTGTCCCTGTAATATAACACTCTCCCATAGACTAAGCACATAACCGTACGATCGAGAAAAGACCCAATGCTCGAGGACTGAAAAGATCTTTTGTTCACTCTTTGTGTGTCTCTCCTCTATTGTAAAGCCATACATGTACACAACCCCCCTCCCATTTCTTGAAAACTAGATCCACCCCGAGTATACGGCCTAGTGCTGCCATTTCAGCCAAAACATCTCTGCCCTCACAGGTACCCAACGGAGAAGCAATAAGTGAAAAAGGTCCTGCCCAAGGACACAGAATGGGACTGGTTTCGTTCAATCAATACACTTTCATTTGCCTCTCTCGAACCAGGAGTATAAATGGGAACCGGCATTAGCTGGGAAGAAGCCTGCAATGGACTGGCATCCCATTCAGGGTGAAAAGAAATATTCTCAGTCGTTTTATGCCACTGAAACCGGAGATAAACGCCGGCCTGATGGGCCACATTGGCTCAGGACAGACTTTTTTTACACTAAGATTTTGCATGCAAAACATTGGATTGGTTTTTCCCGAAAAGGAACATCTTGATGTGTATCCGGTTCGTTAGTGTGACGTCACCTCCAGCACTTTCTGCACCGTTTGGAACCGGAAGTTAACGCAGTTCGAGCGTTTGCAGCCAATGGGCGCTAGTAATCAGTGGTGCGTGCGCGTGTATGACGTTTTTACTAACGAGCCGGATATGCACAGTGAAATACCAAACTTGCTCTAATACTAAAAATGAAAACTCAGCTTACTCTCATCCATTCCTCCCTGTCTTCTTCCGAGTTGGTCTTGAACTGAATGCTCTTGGTCTTGCTCACGACAATGAACCCGCAGCTGTCACTGTCCAGTACCTGCACAGGATTAACCAGGCGATTAACCGGCATTATTAACCGGGTTGGGGATAATGTAACCTGAGTTAACGGCACTGTTAACCAGTTCGCGTCGGAGGACATGATAACATGCACTGGCTGTTTTTATACACAGGCACGGCTGGCGGGTTAAGATGTCAAGATTGCCTCTACTTGCCTCCGGGTGCTGGCTAAACACGCTAATCCCTCATGCCTTTTGTACACACACAAAAACCGTGAAGTCTGTGGAGGCAGACCGTGTGTTGATCTTGAATTGGCCGTTGTGCACAGCCTATTGTTTTACAATTTACGCTCAAGTCTGCCAGTGCACACCCCGGAGTATTGAAACATGAGGTTTTGGCAAGAAATATCGTTCAAATACTGTTGAAATGACTCTTGGGAATCAGTATTTGTGGCATTTGGCTGTATATCAGAAGTTGGCTGGAAAATTTGGCTAGCGCGAACAGGTCACAAAACGGTTTCTGCATACCTGGGCCCAATATCAGCCTACCTGTACTGATGACATCACTTTGTTTACTTGTGCGCTTTTCTATGGGGCTACGATACTGTCGTCCCCACCAGGCTCCAATAAGAAAGCACACGTGTAAACAAAGTGTGACATCATCAGCACAGAGGCTTATTTCATGCCGCTGCTAAGCACACCATTTTCTGCTCACAGGGCCTCTGTCTATTTCATGGAGACTGTAAGCAGTAAGCAGAGGAAAAGATGCTAGGCATCAGTGACGTAACAAGAGAAATATTCATGCGAACGCAACCGTTCATCCATGCCATGAAATAGTGCTTAAGGTTAGCGCAAGTTTCTGCAATACAGTGTATTAAGCACAACTTTTCTGCTAACTGTTAAGAGTAATTTATTGAAGTGCTAACACAAAACAATGAATCCGTGTGTACATTACTGATGCTGTTGGGAAAAAAAACATGGCCGATCTTCCCTGATTCCATGACAACTGCATGCAGAGCCATCATTATTGATCAATATCTACTGTTGGACTGAATTTGATAACGGCCACCTTTTTTGTCAATTTGTCAATTTGAGCAAAACAAATGAGCAGTTTTAAAAAAAAACACTTTTGAACTCACAGACAAAAAAACAGTCACTTTTGGTCGGAATTCTTTCAGATTATGATAATTTTTAAAACTATTATCTAAACTTGATTTTTGTCCATTCTCTTCACCGACGGAACAAACGTTTTTAATGCTCTTCAGTGTCTTATTTTTTATATGGTTAATTATTTTAGGACCAGTAACTTGCAGTTACAGGTATGTTTTTCATGATATTCCAACTTAAAGGGACACTCCAACCTCTGGCAGATATTGATCAATTGCTGCCGAGCGTCCTTTCAGCCGGATTTTCTTGGGCAAACAAAAAAGGGGATAAACTAAAGTTAATTGGACATGCATTTAAATCAATCCACTTAAAATAACATCAAAATAGGAGCTAAAATATCAAAAGATTGGGAGTTTGTTGGTGAAGCTGTTGCCAACAACAGCATTACCTCCCCACGCCTTTCAAATTTGAAAATTAATGTTAAATTGCAGAATCGGTGCAATTGAACTTAACGACCAATCTTCACAGCTTGAAAAAAATTGAGCAAAAGAAATGTGAATATTTGATATTTTTTTACAACAATATCGTTACTGGAGCGCTAGTGAAATTTCCAGTGCAAAAATAATTGAATTACGCATTCAAAGTAACACTGGGCTTAAAACTGAAACCAGTTTTTTTTAGCAGTTTAGCAAAAATTCTGTTGATTTTTTTTGCGCAATATTCTTCAAAATTAATTTCTGTGAAATTTCCAGTGCAAAAATAATTGAATTACGCATTCAAAGCGGAATTAGAAATAAAATACTGGGCTTACAAGTTATGCCAGATTTTGTTTAGCAGTTTAGCAAATATTCTGGGTTTTTTTGCGCAATTTTCTTCCAAAAAAAAAATTGGGGGAAAAAGAAATGCAGAAATTTGTACTCACGCTCACCTTCATCTCGTCGTCCACTTCCATCTTTAACTTGACCTTGTAGGTCGTGGAGGTCAGTAAACGCTTCTTTTCACAGCACAGGAGAATGTCGTTGAACTGCGAATAGAAATTTTTCAAAGTCTGAGTTACATGCAATAGCTCTGTGCAACCTTGAGATCCAATGGAGGGGGGGGGGGGCTCATCTGCTAGAGGGGGCACTCAAGAGGTTTTCAAAACTATTAGAAGGCTCATTTTTGCCTTGCCCCAAATTCTGAGAAGGGTACACAAGAAAGGGGGAGGTGTGCTGCCCTCAAAAGGGCCCCCCCCCCCATCCCACCCCCCCCCCCAGAAGTGTGAATCGCACGCCTGAATCCCTCTGATCCCTCACACCTCGGCATACATTTACAGCGTAATTATACATCTGTGAGCTCTTTAAACCAAGATGAATATTAGAAAATGAAAAAAAAACCAGATTGTTCAGTCCGAGTTTGGTCCACAGAATCACACGCCTAGAAAAAATCGCACGCCTAGAAAAATCACACGCCTAGAAAAATCACACGCCTAGAAAAATCACACGCCTAGAAAAATCACACGCCTAGAAAAAATCGCACGCCTAGAAAAATCACACGCCTAGAAAAATCACACGCCTAGAAAAATCACACGCCTAGAAAAATCACACGCCTAGAAAAATCACACGCCTAGAAGAATCACACGCCTAGAAAAATCACACGCCTGGAAAAATCACACGCCTAGAAAACAACAGGTGTGCCCTTTTCCACACGCCTGTGATTTTCAAATTCAGGCATGCAACTGAGAATTTAGAAAAACTGAGGAAACTTCGAATCACACAAGACTTTGCACAGTAGTTTTCAATTTGTAATGGCATTCATGAGAAGTACAAAATGAGGAAATCAGCAGATCCGAGGAACAGTTGCACGCCTGCAAATCAGAAGGACGGAGTAACGCCACTGTAATACTTACCAGGAAGATGTATCGGTCCTCCTTGTTCTTTGCCACTATCATGGTCATCTTGCCTTCCTTCAGGAGATGCCTCGTTGGGTCAATGACATTGACTTCGTCGATCTTCTCATTTATCTTCAACAGCTTCTCAAACTGCTCCTGAATTTGGCAAAAGTATTGGCAAAAGAGTTGAAAATCAAAGTGGAAGAATCCATCTTGGAAAATCTGCTATCATGGAAAAAAACGGGGACACCACCTCCTCCTTTTAAAAAAAAATCCTGTACGAAAGATTAAGAAATCAATCTCCTACATGGAGGTTTTCTGGACTAATTTCATGTGTTTGAATTACGTACATTAACTTCAAGTTAAGCATTCAGAGATTAAACGCTTCTTTCTAGTAGACCCCCCCCCCCCCCGAAAAAAAAATGTGAAAATATATTCTAAAGTTAAACAGTAACGGTGAATAGTACACAACACATTGCAAGATTATACACAAATAAAGGAAAAGTAATATAACTACCGACAAAAACTATTGATTTTGTTAGGTTAGAGTGGTCTTAAAAATGATGTTACCAAAAGTTGACTGGATAATTATGTACCTTGACTCTTAGTAAAATTTTGTTCATGGTATTCACACTGACTGTGTGTGCATTTTCATGAGTAACCATCAAAGGTGACCGCATATCCACTAAATAGTTTGCCCTATCGTGAGCTCAAAAGTTCATGAACTTTTGCATCGATGCCTATTAATAAAAAGAAATGAACTTCAGTTGTTGGGAACTTTGAAATCAGAGGAAATTGATTAAATGTTACTCACAACATCAAGTCGGTGCCAAATATCAAACTCATTTATAAATCAGTCCGGACCAAATGATTACACTTTCCAAAAGGACAAAAATAAAATTGGAAACGACCTTTTGAACACCTTACAGTAGGTCTGTCACTTTCTACAGTTGTAGGCAAATCGACGAAAAAGGAAAAAAAAAACAGCAGGAAACGTAGTTCCCGATGCAGCATATCTCGCAGACAGAAAATACCCCGGCTAGATATAGCCTTCACGGGGGATCGTTACCCAATCCAGCGGGGTTACGGTTTCTCCCCCTCTCTCCTTTTGGGGACAGCGAAGTAATGTCAAGAGGCACGACCACACCAGCCAGGAAGGTCACAATTTGTCGAGGAAATTCCGCTTTTCCTGCCTCTAAAGACACGTAGTCAGTGCCTGAGACACGGCGGTAGTAATCTTGTAAAAATAAATCACCAGTATTCCATTTCTCAGGAGTCAGGACATGAGTGGATTTTACAGGTTGAGGAAAAAATCTGCGGGAAGAAATCGTATCCCCTACCCACCAAGGGAGGTGCTGTTATGTTTTAGTGACATTAACACCCCTTCCCCTGCCCCCTTCCCTCTGTCTCACTAAGTTTGACATGCAGTGGGGTATCAAGGTCAGAGGACCATATAGGGGTCTTTTGGCTAGATCGCTAAATATAGCCTCATCTCGGGCCTGCTCAAGTGAGTCATCATGCTGTATTAGGAAGCGACGGCAATGGCTGTCTGATGCACACATTTGGGAACTGAAATTACTCCCTTGTGTTACACACAGAAGTAACAACGTTTTGTTTTGTATCCATTCATCAGAATTCTTGGTCTGAAGTTTCCAAACAATCTTGCCTCCCTTTCTTCTCTTGCATTCCTCCCCCCAACCAAATAATGTTTAATCCCAAAAGCACAGGGTGAGCCAAACGAACGAGGAAAATATTAGCCTTTATTTGCCCAAGTAAACAACAGCATTGTGAAAACTATGATATCATTTCCAATTGGGCTCACACACATCTCTGGGTGCCCAATCTTATTGGGAAATACCGTCGTCAAAGCAAACAGGCAAACTGAAAATGAGTGATTTCAATAAGAACGGTAATGGAACAAGTCAATTATCCACATTTAATTGCAGTAGTGAGTGGCATTTACAAAATGTACCGATCAAAATGGTATAAATCTCAGACAGCTGATGTATTTTGATCTTCCCGAATCCAGAAATTAAATAAGCATCCTTTGTTTATCAACAACATAATATTTGAGTCATGAATTATGTGTTTGTTAGAGCATGCCTACCACAAGTTGATATCAATTTTGGAATGAACAAAGGAAAGTTATGACTGAGAGTCGAACCAGCAACCTTCAGATTGCGATACTACCACGCTAAGCTACCCAGTCCTACGTCGACCTGATGGGCCAGATCTCGTTTACACGTCCTCTGGCGTCAACTGGTTAAAGCCCAATTCACGCTTGGCATGAAAAGAAATGCGAAGTTGTGACATTGTGGAAAGAAGTGAACACATTTCAACTCATTCAGTTTTACCAAAATATTTTGTGACTTCAATTTCCCTTCGCATTCGCATTTTAGGGTGAAGGGTGAACGTTGCAGTCTTACAACCGAGACTGATTTAGCTCAGGAACCCTCCGGAGTCCAAACTGCGTACCATGCGACCACTAAATAGTACCCCGAACAGGAGGGAAGTTCTCGTCTCTCTTCGTGTGCATCTGCCGCAAACCTGCCACAGTGTGGTGTGAGGATGTACTGAGTTTAGGAAGCTGTTGTGAGTCATATATGCTCAAGATGCATTGAATAATCCACGCGCGATAGCTCATTCCACAGTAACACTGAAATAAGGCCTATGGGATTTTTCCACGTTTTTTTTTTCTTACCAAACGTCGTACATGTATCTATCCGATTTTTTACATCCTTTTTCCAAATTGTGAACAAAGAGCCATTGTTATATATTTGTGATGCCTTTTTTTGGAGGGGAGTCAGGTTGGCGCAGTGGTTACTTTCCTTGCCTTCCACCGCTATGGCCCTGGTTCGATTCCTGCCCTGGCCTACATGTGGATTGGGTTTTCAGTCCCTACAAGATTCCGTGGGTTTTCCCCAGAATATTCTTCTGGGGTTTTCCTCCCACCTCTAAAAACTGTAACTTCTTCTCATTGTCTTCTCTCTACAGGTTTCTTCAGGCTTGCGAACTACAGTGCCTAAGGCATTTTTTAGGAATCCTTGGTTTCATTACCGGAAATATATAATATTTAATAATAAACATAACCGATAATGGGTCACTAGGGAGTCATTCTCATAGATTTGTGCACAATTTTTTTCCCAAATTTTATGACCCCTAACCCTAATTTTACCTTATCCTACCCCACAAATTTTGGTATATTTATATTTTGGACCACGACTAATCGATCTAGCCTATATACGACAGTAACAATTTGCCTCTAAATAGGAGCTGTGACATTAGGGAGACATTGGCATATCAACTTGGAACTTGGTAATGGAACTTGGTATGTACATAGACAGGGGCATGTTAAAGACTTAAAAAATATGTGACGTCATGATGAGGTCATCATGTATCAAGAGAAATTATCAAGGTGCTTATTTTAAAGTCCTATATCCATGGACAGGACTTGTGACGGACTCGACTAATTCACTGCTTGCTAGACACTGCTTGACATCTATTGATAACTAGGAATGAGTCCAACATCAATAACCTGGTCTGAACCATCGTTGACTAGCCTGCATTCCATGAAAGTCAGCGGAGTCGTGCTTAACCACGATTTCCTGAATCCAAGTTGCTCCAATTCACAAATAAACCACAAAGGGAAACTGACTAGGTGCAAAGTAATCATTTGAAAGTTGAAAAAAAGAAATTGACTGGGGCGGATTTTGAACCTGTGACCCCGGATTGCCGTTCTGGGACTCCACCAACTGGTTTCCCATTTTGTCAATGTCTTTGCTCAAGGGGCGCTAGTTATAGAAGCCATAAACCTGTATATGCTATGTAGCCAGGGATCACGCCCAAAGTCACGATGCTGGCAACAATGCTGCCAACCTGGGAAATAGCAAATAATTAGTTTTATTGTTTGCTATTTCTCAGGTTTGCAGCATTGGCTAGCATCGTGACTTTGGGTGTGATCCCTGGCTACATGGCATATTACAAGTTTATGGCTTCTGACTAGCGCCCCTTGAACAAAGACACTGACAAAATGGGAACCACCAACATAGGGCTGGATAGCTCAGTTGTTGGACTGCCGGAACGGTAATCAGGAGGTCGCAGGTTCAAATGCCATAGCAGTCAATTTCTTTGTTCAATTAGTGCTCAAATTTGCTTAAATGCTTACCATGGATTTCATCATGTCGTTGGAATGTTGTGCTGCCCCCGATATGATAACCAGAGCCTCTGCAAATGATAAAAACACAATACAAAGATTAAAGAAGGTTATAGAAATTTTGTTTTCAAAAAAGATTTATTTTCAAATTTCTTGACATTCCAGAACGGCCGGGAAATGTGAGATGTCATTTGCTTAAAAGAAGACTTTGAATATTTGATTATTTAATTTAATATTATATTATTTATTTGTTAAATAATTTATATTTAGACTCAAATTTGGTTAAAATGTAGTTGGGTTACAGCACTGCAGTTTTGAAATATTTCAGCGGCAAATTTCATTTGTACTTTTTTATTTACCCCCCAAAATAGTTAACATTTTCAGGTACATACATGTATACATGTACATGTATAAAACACTCAGTTATTAAAGTTATAAGTAAATATCTGAATTTCTCCACAAAAAGGATGATTAAATAACCCGAAATAAAAAGGACATCTTACTTTCTGCATCTGCCTTGTCCTTAGATTCATCTGGCAGTTTTCTTAAGTACTCTGGGTAGAAAGAGAACCAAAAAAGAAAGATAAAAACATCACAAACAAGTGGTGGCTTGTAATTATCATAATTATCGGCCACAGGCGGGCTTATGGATAGCTCAGTTGGTAGAGAAAACCATTCTACAGAGCGAGTCAAAAAGAAAGTGACCTACATGTAATAAAAAAAGAATATTTTTAAAAAAATGTGGTACATTTTTACCAGTAATTGTGAAAATTTCACGGAATTTGCACACTATGTTCACAGTTATGTCTAGTTTAATACAAACATTATTTACCATGCAAGTACAATGAAACGAGGGCATTTTCCTGCCTTCATGAGTGAACGAACATTAGCACAGGAAATAGACAAAAATCAACATTATTATTTCAGAAAAAAACATTCCTCATATTCAAAACACAAAATCTGACAGTAAAAATAATGTTTCAGTCTTGACAAAAATTATATTTGTATTTGAATGCCTGTGCGTAATCCCTGGTTCTCACTCAGCTCAATAGCTTCAAATGGCGTACCATGGACAGCTGTGAAAATGGACTCTTTCAGTAAAATACGCATAAATTCTCATAGCATGGATCGATTTCGGTAATTCCTTTTTTCAAATGAGTGGAAGAGCATGCTCGTTTAATAATATATGCTTCGTTGGTGTGTCAAACATTTAATTGCTTTTTAAGGGGGAAACGATTATCATTATTCCAGGTCACTTTCTTTATGACTCAACCAGTCCATGGAGCCCCATATTGGTGAATAGATATTTAGTTATTTCAGATCCGATCATTTCTGTTAATCCTCTTTATTCTTATATAAGGGCGTCCCTCTGTAATTCTATGGATCTCATATTTTTTTGGCCCTGAAAGAGGGTCGGTCGGTCGAAAGAAAAAAAATGGGGTACAAACAATAGGACATCAAAAGGCTAAATAAAATGACGCAAACTGACGCGTACAACAGGGTAATGAGGACCAGCGAACATCGTACATAGTGCTAACAACAAAGCCTGTTGCTGGCACCGTACCTCAGCTCAATCCTTACCACGCCAAACTGTTGGGCGTTTTTGCCACGAAATTGGACAGATCATCCATATTTCTTCATTTTTTTCTTTAGGTAAGAAATTCAAGACATAAAAAAGAGGTTTTTTTCTTCGGTCAGGAGCCAAAAAAAGGGTCGGTCGGAAATGAGAACTGTCGTATTACAAAGGGACGCCCTAATGCTTTCCGTGGATGTCTCTTGAGTATAATCACATTTGATTTTCAACATTACCTTTTAGGAGAAGTTCATATCTGGGTATCCTCTGTATTGGGGTGAGCATGTGGTGTTGAAGCGCAAGATTTCCACACAGTTCATGTTGCTGTTGAAAAAAAATAATAAGTTTGTATCAATACGTAGAACTGAAAGTGAAATGTTATCATTCATCAAACAATATGGTTGTTAATGCAAACAGGGAATATACGGTTGTGGATAATAGAGCCAGAAGTAAAAGGTCACGAGGCGAGCTTCACGAACCCTCGCGTGGCCTGCCTATGCGCTTTAACACTGGGTTGCCCTTTCTGTTGCCATAATTTTTGACAGAATGATGTCTAACCGTAATCACCCCAAGAAACACTCATGTTTTAATTTTACCTTGGTATTCCTCAAGACAAAATGAGAAATCACTTGGAGATCGGTAAAAACGACCTTTCACATCCGGCACTTTTGTTCCTAGGTCTCCTTGTTCCTTCGAGTTTTGTTTTTACATCGCGTATTTGCATGAGAACGAAAAATTTACCTACCTACAGCCGATGGGTTCTAGATTTAGTCGGGCTGGTTTGAATGCAGTCCTTATCAGCGGTCGCTTTAGATTTTGTATGTAAATGCTAATGAATCCTTCAAGTTTATTCAAAAAAGTTGTATAACCTACCGGGTAAAATACATCTTAGTCTCCTGCCGGTATTTCACTTTCAGTTTTCACCCAATGATCACCACAAAATTATTTCATAAATTTTCATCTTTGTACGAGTACACTGTGTTCCACTAGTCCACATGTAATTGAGATTTTCGGAAGTTATAGATTTTTGGTACGATTTGTCTCTTTCACGTCAGGTGATTTTTCAGTTTCCATAGGTTGAAATGCTAGTAACAAGTTTACAATGGCCTTTTTCAAGGGTGATTTTCTTAATAAATCAATGCATCCAAAATAATTGCAAATTTTAGAATTTTTGCACATTCATTTTCCTCTTCAAGGGTTCCAGAAGCGCGCCACCGGGGGTGAACTTTCAGAATCCATTGTTGGTGTCCCCTAACGTGGCACTAGAAACCCACCTGCAATTCCACAAGCTTGGCGGCAAATTTGGGCGCTTTGGACGTCAAATCTTTCAGCTGCTTCATGGCATGATCAAAGTTACTGACGTAGTCCGAGTAGAGCTTGAGGAACGGAGCGTTCTTCTTCAGCACCTCCCCCAGACACGGATTCTTCTCCCTGATCAAAATCCAAATCAGACAAATTACTTCATGATACAGCAATCTATAAATCAATTTGACCCATTTCAGAGTCTGGCCAAATCACAAACCGTATATGAACTGAAATGACTCTATGTGTTCTTCCCACTTTTATGTACAAAATAGAACAAACAATCGTCTGTTGAAGAAGTGGTACCGGTAAGATGAAAAGCCAGGCTTTTAGTCAGCTTTTTTTTTTCTCAGATGAAAAAGGTCTCAAAAATGTGAAGAAAGTTCTGGACTACTGATAATTTGACAAATTTACACAGGTACATGTACCGGTAGACATAAATGGCCTCTATAAAGGCTACTTGATTGAACACAGACAAGTCACTTGAGCCAGTTCAAGGCACTTCAGGTGTCTGCTTCCTAACTAGATTAGTAAGTTTGATTTCCCCCATGCCCCTAGAGATGCAAGCAAGCCCTAGACCTGTGGTGTCTGGAGGAGTTAAAAACATGACCTAAATAGGATGCACACCCTCCCACCCACCTACCCCCTACTAAACCCCCTATTAGCTGGCCCCCTCCCCCTCCACTCCCCCTTTCCCCCACCCCTGTTTCCATTTTTAGTGATAAAATTGTGTCTTCGGCTGTTGACCTACATGTATTTCCATCCATGGTCTCGAGCATGGTCAGGCATGTAAAGGTGCCTTAGTGCTGATATTCGCGGAGGGAGGAAAACCAGGGAACTCGCAGAAAAACTCTAGTGGCACAGGAGAGAATCAAGGAACAACTCTACTCACGTATGACCTGAGCCGGGAATCGAACCCGGGCCATGCACAGCGGTGAGAGGCGAGCACTTTACGCACTGCGCGACCCATGCCACCCCGGTTCTCGCTTGAACTTGCTCCTAACTTAGAGGTCAGTGGGGCTTACCAATTTTTTAACGTCTGTTCCAGATCCGGTAGCAGCACGGCCGAATGAAGCTGGTAGATGGATGCTATGTTGGAGAAGATTTCATTGATAAACGAATGATTGAACCAGGCCTTCTCCTTGTTCTCTTCTTCAATCCGTTTCATAAATATCTGGCGAGAAATGAACGAGGCAATAATAATCATAAACGTAGGAATACCATCAGTCAACCTGGAACTACCATGGCTGTGTTCTGGGCTATTACTCGTCAAACTCAAAGCACTAGTCAAATCACAAGTCAGAACACAAGTCAAATGAAAAGTTCATCAAAATTAGTCAAACGTCTATCACAATTCCATCACAAGTTTCTCCAAAACCAATCACAAGTCAATCCCAAGTTCATCCAAGGTCAATCATTAGTCACAACACACGTCACTCAAAAATCTGTCACAAGTCGATCACAAGTCAATCACAAGTCCATCCAAGGTCAATCATAAGTCACAACACAAGTCAATCAAAAGTCTGTCAAAAGTCAATCATAAGTCTATCACAAGTTTACCACAAATCAATCACAAGTCAATCACAAGTCCATCCAAGCTAGGTCAATCATAAGTCACAACACATGTCAATCAAAAGTCTGTCAAAAGTTAATCATACATGTAAGTCTATCACAGGTCTACCACAAATCAATCACAAGTCAATCGCAAGTCAACACAAGCCAATCAAAAATCTGTCACAAGTCAATCATAGTAAAGTTAATCAAAAGCCAATCAAAAATCTTAATCACAAGTCAGTCATACATGTACCGTATATATGTATGTAAATCACAAGTCAAAGCGCAAGAAAGATCACCAGTCACTCTTGGGTCAATAGTATGAGTAAGGTCACTGGTAACATGGGATGAACAAGGGCAAAAGGAATACCTGTGTCGCAGTGTACATCAATAGCTTCTCACTTGGCTCGTTTTAATTGACTTGTGACTGGCTTTTAAGGATAAGACTAGAACTCCCCCTTCTATAGACCTTAAGCGTTGTGGGTGTCTCAGTTGATGTTTTTGTTTAAATTTCTTAACAATGGTTACATAAAAGGTTTCATCCCAGAGACAGAAAACCATTGCCCTCTCATTTCACCTTGTTAAATGCCATGAGGTCTATTGAAGCTAGGTAACTCATGTAGAGTTCACACTTTGGTCCCATACTTCCCAAACTCTCTAGCCTTCTGACCAGTAAGATTTTCTTGTCAGCCTGGGTAACTAATAATCACAACTGTTACGCACTTAACCTAGGTCTACATCCAAGTTCCATTTTAAACTTCCCTCTGTTGAACTGAGTACAGCATACCTGGAAATGATCATGAACTTACTTCACTTATGAGATGTAGAGTGCCTACATATGTCCGTTCCGTCGTGAGCACCTCAAAGGCTTTTTGGTGGGTGTCATCCAGGAACACATTTGGCTCTTCCAGAGAGCTATCCGAGTCAAAGTCCGAGTCGGCACCGATCGGTTCATCGTCCGAATCCTCCGTGAAATCCGAGTCCATGGACTTGATCTTCTGCCTGAGCAGCCGGCGTGACATGCGTCTCTCCCTCTTGCTCATGATCCTCTTCATCCCGGAAGCCTCCAGGTGCAATCCCGCGATCCCCGAGTCGCCGCTCGACATGCCGCCGGAGTTCCGCAACACCACTTTGTTGCCGTTCCCGTCCGAGATCTCTCGAGTCTTCTGCTCGGCTGGGTTCTTGGTCTTCTTGGACTCAGTCTTGTCTGCATCCGGGAGTGGTGTCACGGCGTACGGCCCTTCCCTGTCGACTGTCTTTGACCGGGCTGGGGCAGAGATCTTCCTGAATCTGATATCCACTACAGGTTTCTCACCCTTCCCAGTTTTCGTACTCTTTTCGTCCCCAGACCCAGCCTGCTTGCCGGCAACAAAATCTGGACCAAAAAACTTCTCCAGTTTCTTAGAAGGTGCCCTGTCATTTCTGATCCCAGTTGGTTCAGACCCCTCCATCCCCTCATGGTAAACTTCATCGTAGATGTTATCCATTCTGGACTGTTCGGAGGGTTTGAGGGCGATTTTAGGCTTGGGCGTCGTTCTCGGTGGACTGCCGATTGCTTTTTTGGGGGGTACGCCAGGTTTGCTGTTTAAACCATCCTGACTGCTGCTCAAAGCAGGTTTCTTGAAAACTGGAGGCTTGTTGGGAATCGGAGGCTTCGCAGCTGCAAGAAAGAAGTAAAAAATTATATATACTGACTATATTACACCAGCTAAGACCCTGTACGTTAATCTCAGGAGGCAATCTTAATCTTATTCACCTCACAATTAACCCATTAGACATGTTAAAAACTTCAGTACACATGTATGATTACTTCGCTGGTCAATCTATAAAGCAATGTTGAGAGTGGGGGAAAATTAAAAATCCCTGAAATAATCGGTGGATGGTTTTTGGGTCGCTAGAGCACACATATTATATTTTTATATTTGCCTTTAAGGCACTCCTCACAATATGCATTTCATTTGTTCTTTCCCCTTTAAAGGTAAAAACGCTCTTTCGTTAAAACCTCAGGGATTCCAGATTTCAAAAAGGGATTCTTTAATATCATGAACTCAGGCAAAATCCTGCAAAACAAAAACATGAAATCAGGAAAATTCTGAAAAAAAATCTTGACCCTGATAAAAAGGTGATCAGGCAGTTTCAGACGCTACAAGGAGTAAAGAGGAGGGCAGTATTAAACAGCAACTAAATAGTTAACTAGTATTACTACATCAAATAATGATGATCTACACGTGTACCGGTACATGTACTATGTAAAGACTATTTACACATGTATTTCACTTATTTTTTGTCTCTGAAAATGTCCATACTTGATCAAAATTAAGAGGTCACGAAAGGTCTCCACTACCAAACCGTCCAAAACAAACCGTCCAAAACATACTGGCTGCACCAGTGAGTGATTTCCATTATCGTCCCCAGTGATTCACGCCTTCATTTGATCCAGGGTAAAATGACCTCAGAGGCAAAGGAGGGTGGGGAGGGTTACAGTATTTCATTCTCGGAAGATGTCACTTCCTCTATAACGAGAACAAGACTATAAATAGGCCCCTTGGCGGCCCCCAATTTTCCCCCATCTATCCTCCTGCTGTCAGTCTCTTGCCAACAATGCTCAAAAAAAATTAATCGAAAAATGTCTCAAATCTCTGTATTTTTTTATGAGATGTCAGAAATTCCCTGTGACATCTAATGAGTGGGAACGTATGTATGAATTTTAGATTTCAGGCACTACTGCCAGATTTCAGGCATTTTCAAATAATTTAGTATTTAATTATTCCAAATTGGACTTGATTGAATATTTGAATGTTTGATTTCAAAATGCGCTGTTCAAGTTTAACACGTGGGATTTTTGTGAGCTTGCGCTTTTCAAAACTGATAAAGAGCTCACATGTATTTAGATTATACACAGAATAGGTAGCAGAATAGCTGTTATTTGCTCAATTCTAAACAAGAAATTTTTGCTTATGGAAGCTCTCTCATATCATGCGGCAAATTGACTTTTGACAAAAGTGTGGCAATTGACAAACAATAAAACCACACGACTTATACCATATGATTAAAATATTATTGTGGACATTCTTCATTATCTCTTCAAGACCGCTTAGGCCTACATTTTCCAAATTCTATTCGGATATTTGGTTGCTGATATACCAAATATTACATGTAGCTTCTAAAATTCCATATCTCTCATAGGCCTAAATTCCAATCTTTGTCCTGTCACTTCTCCCTGCTTTGTTCTACCCCAATCTTTTCATTGTTCCCTTTCTCCCTGCTTGAAGCCCGACCCTGTTCCTTTTCTCCACTCTTTTATTTTCCCCCAACTGTCTTGCCATTATTCCCTTTCCCATCCCTATCCCACTGGCATTCTGTTCATGATCGCTCTGTCAACCTAGGTATGTAGAGTACCCGGTACATCATTTGCAGCTATCCAAAAAGTAACTGACAAAATTACTGTTGAAAAGTTTGGTTTAAAGATAGTAATGGCACTAAACTCCCTGTGAAATGATTCTTTCTGGCATGCTGTCATTTTGAAGAAAACAATAAGCGGTCATTTCTAACGATGCGTCTAAAGACGCCTTTTGTGAAATTCCCGCTAGTGCTTCGTATTTAATTCGGTGACTGGTGCATGCAAGCGTTGACACGATGCACACGCACATGCACTTGCTACAATTTATTGGTTCAGTGCGTGACATCGTATAGCTGCAATCGGCTGAATAAGAACACGTCCCAGACGCTGATTTCGGGCATAATTCAAAACATGACTTGGCAACTTTTGAATTGAAATGTAGATCCTAGAATATTTTTTTCTCGGAATATACAGCATTCACTTAGCAAAAATTCATCAGGTTAGTTGTTTTAAAGCACCCCTTTTTAGATTTTGAGCACTTTTGTTGCTTCAAATGCATGCATTTATATTTTGTTATATTGTTTGTATTTCATGTATAGCCACCGCACTTTTTGTTTTTTTATTTATATATGGAAATGCTTTTTATGTGAAATTTAAATGTGAATGTGAAATTGTGAAATTAAATTAATGTAAATTTTAATGCAGAATGAGAAGTCGAGTTTTATGTTTTACATCATGGGAATAAATACATTGAAATTTAAATTGAATTGAATTGATCGAGTCACACCATATGACCTGCACGTAGATTGAAAACCAAAACGGTAGTGAAACTACACTAACGTGGGTAAATTATTTCAAATGTCACCGCGTTGTAAAGCCAAAAATATGTTGAATTAACATACAACTCCCTTCAGAAAGGTTCTCTGAACCCTGACTTGGCGCAGTCCGTGTCCGCTACAATCTCGGAAGATGCGGTCTTTTAATACTCAAAGTGAACAGGGAAATAAAATCCCATGTCCGTATACTCTCACATAATCGTCTTGTCAAACGTACTTTTCGTCACCCTGTGACGGGAAGAAATTAATTAGCTTCCGCGAAGTTCTATGACTGTGCCGTACAGTGAGACACACACATGGGAGTCTGCAAGTAGTTGGCATAAACTTCTCTACTTCAGTCTACTTTTTTAAAGATCAAAAACCCAACTACTTTTAAATAGTTGAACAAAGAAATTGTCTGGAGCGGGGTTTGAACCTGCGACCTCCGGATTAACGTTCCGGTGCTCTACCAACTGAGCTATCCAGCCCTACGTTGGCGGTTCCCCAATTTGTTAATATCTTTGTTCAAGGGGCGCTAGTCAGAAGCCATGAACCTATTATGCCATGCAGCCAGGCATCACGCCCAAAGTCACGATGCAGACCAGGGCCCAATTTCATAGCACTGCTTAACAGTAAGCAGAAAAGTTGTGCTTACTATAGCAGAAAATCATGCTGCTGCTTAAGCACTATTTCATGCTAACGGTTGCGCGCGCATGGAGATTTCTATTGTTACGTCACTGATTTAAGCAAAGTTTTCTTCTGGGGTTAAGCGTGCTTTTGCTGTGCTTACTGCTTAACGGTCCCTATGAAATAGATGGATGCTCGGTAAGCACAAAGTCGGCTGTTAAGCAGCGCTATGAAATTGGGTCCCGGGAAATAGCAAACGGGGATCACTCAGAGAGGATACGGCTTTTTATTACAAATTCTCAAATGTGGTTAATTAAAAAACTCAACTGTTATCAATGTTCAAATCCAGGTTGACATGCAATTGGGCAATATTCCAGCATCACAAACATTACAAATCAGACTCCTCTGTTGTACTTTAAGAGCTCAGTGAATTAACCTGAAAATGTATTTTCAAATCTTATACATATCATCTAGTAATGACCAAGGGGATTACAGAGTAGGAGTTTGGGATCATATCTCTGAATCATTAATTAGATAATTGGCTCTGTCACACACTTTATATTTTCTTCCATAACACTGGAAATGCCCAATTGCAGAAATATTTTCTTTGCACTGATGTGAACTATACGTACGTGTACATCTTGTAAACCACGAACAAAAGCAGTCAGTTTTTGTGTCAACAATATGTACAGGTCTGCATATATATCTCACTGGCATACTGACATCCTTTACTAGTAACTACGGCCAACTCGTCCACCCTAACTCCTAAAATATGTTGGTGTCATTTGTGCTGTAAAATTCCATGAATTAGTAAATAAACGAAGTACTCCATGATATTGTACCTACATGTAGCTGCCTTGGAAGTATGCCAACTACAGGTACCGGTAGATCTGGTTGTTTCAAAAGCTCTCCCGGAGCACTTTAGTAAGTAAATTTTTGTCAAATGATTGAAAATGTTGGGCACAGCAATATCTTATCCATCACTTTCCTTGAAATGCTACCTTTGTTCCCAGAATGCCAAAGCAATGGTCAAAGGTTCTGATAGATTTAGGACTATCGGTACATATGTATATGTACATGGTTGTTTTCAGAAAGGAGAAAGAACGTAACATTTTAGTAGGAGCTCTTCAGCTGAAAAGGGAAGTAGTTCTGAATGTTTCACACAGCACTATACACGACATCCTATTCCTAAACTACATGTAAATTTTACAAATGTACTTTTGATGACACTCTTATCTGCCTACCATACCGGTACATTACAGTGCTTGTATCGTGCTTGGACACTCTAATTTCATTGGTCTAGAACGACAATGCGTCCAGTCTATAAAAAATATGTATACATGTAGGCCTACATGTAGACACTGCGCTCATTGCGCGCATTGTGTACGCACTAGAACCTGCCCGCGCGCTCGCGACTAAGCGACCACTAAGTCTTGTTTCTGGCAGGAACGCCTGCAGTTATCAAAGGTTACATCGCAGTGATTTGATTTTTTTTTCTCGCACAGCAAGTTACAACCATTTATCTTTGTGACTTATTGGCATAATATAACAATTGTTGACTGCTGTGATGTAGGATATGTGTCATTTTTAACCCCCTTGGTGCACATATCCATTGCATAAATGTCCTACTGTAGATGCATGAGACAAATCCTTTTCAAATTAAGGTAATGTACTTGGGATCATTTGCTTGAATATTTAAAAAAAAAAAAAAAAAAAATGTTTTCGTTTGAAACAACAAAAGTGCAGTCAAAATCTAAATTGGGGAGCCTTACAACTAACATGTTGAAATAAGATTTGAGGCTTTGCATGGTGGGGTATCGGTATCGTTTCGGTTTGCGGTAACACCATGTGGTAATAACTACTGCTTAGAAGATATTA